AAGATTTTATTTTCCTTAAACAATATACATTCCCTTTCNCCCCCCATCTAACTACTCCTCCATCCTTCGAAGATTCACCTTTCAATTCTCGTAATAAACGTGCTCCACAAGTAAACGATTGAACTTTGCCTGAGTGCCTTTAGGCCAAACTGTTTAATCAGTCCAGGCAACCATCTCGGTTTCTGTCCAAAAAGCTCCAGCAAACAATTAACCCAGGCTGAGGTTTCTTAAATATCTGTTCAAGTTGAGAAAGAAAAAGAAAAAGAACTGGTTTATATATTCTTTGTGTTCGTCTATGCACTGCATATACTGTATATATATATATATATATAGTATATAATACATAACTAATTATGAAAATAATCAGATACCGCGAACAGGATTCAATATTTCAACATATACAGGGTTACCCGAAAAGAATGAGACTTTACTGACGACCTTGAACTCTTTAAATATACAGGGTGTCTCACATCCTATTGGATCGTGAATAGCTCTAAATTTCAATTTTTCTGGGAAAATTAGAAAATTTAAAAAGAATTAATGCTTAAAAAATTTTATGAGGCTCACGTAAAAATTTGCATGCAGAAAATTCTAAATTTTGTGAGTATTATATGTGTGCGTATTTTGGCGTTCAAGGTTGGAGATAATCCAATACGATGCGCCCTGTAGCATTCCAAAGGTTGAATTCTGTTTTCCTGTCTTTTATTGTGAATCAAATGATTTGGTCAAGAAAGAACCAAGTGTAAAAGTTGCAGGGAATGATAAATGTAAGAGAGAAGTTGTATCTTAAGTCTCATCCTTTGTGAGTAACCCTTATAAACTATAACCTTAACCGGAGAATTCGTTGACAATTGAAAAACATATTTTTGAGGTTAAATAAACTGTTTACTGTTTACAAAGTGGCAAGTCCAACCATGACATCGACACCCTTAAAGCTTTTGTCAGCAACCAGATTTAATGAATATTACACTTTACACTAAATTTTACTATTTCTTCGATTAAGACATGATTAACCACCTAGCTACTTCTAGCTATTCATATAATCTTGTCCCTTATTAGGGATGGAAGGGATATTCTTCTTATTTTCCCTCGGGAAGTTGGATTTCCTAAACTGTGCCTTATCAGAAAAATTGATTTTCGGATTTACTGCATAATTTTTACTTTATTTTTAGTCCTCGCTATTTAATGATTTAAAAAAAAACGATTCTGAAAACGTACCCAGTACCCACCCAAATTCATAATTTTGAACGTCGACTATGCACTCAAAGTAATTATACATCGTGGAAAAGTTTTATATGTCTTAAATGAATCCTAAAGAATTTGTCCACAACACTGCATACTCAGTTTAACTACCTTACATAGCCGGTCTGTCCCTTTCATGATGATGTCTCCCTCACTTTATCTGAGATAGAGAAACGGTACCAGCGTGAATCGGACATGGCACTCTGTGACTGCAGGGCCATTTTAAGGTTCAGCAGAAAAATGTTTATTTCAGTTATTTAGAAGTATAACTAAACAAATTTTTAGAGTACAAGTAGGGTTGTTAATCGTTTTTGAAAACGATCATTAAACGATCGTTTTTTGTTTCGTTTTCCGATCATTTTTTAACTTTTAAAAAAACGATAGTTTTTAAAATGGTCGGAAAACGAAACAAAAACGATCGTTTTTCAAAAAAAATGAAAACGTTAACATCCCTAAGTACAAGTCTGTAATTTTTCAAAATCTCTTACTTTTACATTTCATATTCCATTGCTTTAAATTTACTAAAAATACTAAATTTACGACACAAGTCCCATTCTTCTTGATACTTGCAAATAATTACAGTTTAAAAAGTTACAGTCAAGGTAAAAAAAACCACATCTTTTCAAAATAATAAATACTTGAATTAAATTAGAAAAATTGAAAAATCGAAAAATTGAAAAAACGATCATTTTAAAAAAATTAACAAAAAGACAAAGCAACAAAGATTTAAAATCGTTAATAATGACAATTATGATAAAAATAATAATAAAAATGATAATAATAAAAGTAAAAATAACAACAATGTTAACAATAACAAAAAAACTATTTGCATTTCAGGAGGGAGGCATGATAATTAATCATGTTTTCACCTAGAACATCTTTAACAGTTTACATAGTTAATTATGAAGAAGGGTGGGGTCACCTGAACACAAATCACAAATCACAATATATGTTGTGTAGATCTAGATAAAAACACATTTAAACTGAATCATCTTTATTCCCATGTTGTGTAATCATTGTACAATGTGCAATGTGCAATGTGCACTCAGATCTCATTCAAAACAACCAGCAATGGTTAGAGAGCTCCTGGCTAAAATTGAAATGTAAAAATTGTGTACCTGTAATTCTTATTTATTACATTATTTAGTCAACTATATATTTATCTAAATATCTATCTTATCATAGCAATTAGCAAGCAGTTACTTTCGATCCTATTTTGACCAAATAAGCATAATTTTCTCGTATTTCCCTTTCATACTTTTATGTGTCGAAAAATAGAATATTGAAGTCGAAAGTCGTCTTCATTGTATTGATTTAAAAAACGACGACTGTAGGTATCTCTTTATTTACTTATGTGAACATGGTTAATACCAATTAGTTCTTTAGATTAAGGTATGTGACAGACTTGTTAGAATTTCAGGAATTCGCCTTCAAGTTTTTGAGATACCAATAAAAACAAGAAAATATACGACACGTTTTAACCATAGATAAAGATAGATTGCGCATAAGACGACATTTTTCAACTTGAAAGATATGTTTTAAAGATATTCCTATTATATAGATTAACTAGGTCGGTTGTGAACATTGGCTGTTCTTATGTCATTGAGTACTTGTGGTGTTGGTGTACATGAGTTCTGTAGAGAGAAATATAAGTTAGTATAGTCCTTCTCATGTCCTTCTTCAGTGAAATATTGTTGTTCAAATAGTTCCATTCCCGGAGTTATTTTACACTTATTCTATGAAATCCATTAAAACACCAAACCACCCCGCTTATCATTGAATTACACTTTGACCCCTAGAAGTATGAGTTCGCGGACTGTACAATTCTTGGTGATTTTGCGTACATAAGCTATCTATGTTTATTTATTTATCTATGGTTTTAACGTTTAAATTCAATTATAATATATATTGTACGAAAAAAAAATTTACATCTAAATAAGGATGGGCAATAGCCAGATTCGTTTTACAGAACCTTTCAAAAGGTTTCACGACAATATGAAAAGGTTTCAACCAACATGCTAGTACTTTATTTTGTAGAAGTTCTAGGGTTATTAAAACGATAGTTTTTGCCTTTAATTTTCACCTAGGATAATAAATTTGCATGTTTGATAAAAGCAAACTTCTACAGAATACAATTTTAAATCATTGGACCTTTCTCAGATTGTCGTAAAACCTTTAAAAATGTAAAAATATTAAACGTTTTTGTAAAATGAATCTAGGTATTGCCAATCGCTACATGTAAAGAATGTAAAGCAACGTTTAACATGCTAAATCCTTTTTTGGAAAGAGGAGCCCAAAGAAATCCTTAGTTTAGTTAGCATATAATCAATTCAGATCAAAACTGGTTTTTGAGAACTTCGTAGCTGCAACTAATCTTGCCTGTTTTGGTAATCTTTTAGATTTAGCTCTGAAATTCTTATTTACCCACCATTTCATTGAGAACCAAAAAGCTTTGAAATGGAAAGACGACTTTTTTGAACATGAAAAAGAAAAAGCAGCTGTTGTGCTGTGTGCACAGAGCCATTTAACTTAACAAGCAACTTAAACGTAATATGGTTGAACTATTGGCTTTGCAACAAAATCATTCAACTATTGTTTTAATGTCGTCTTTCTATTCCACCATTGTCTGCTTTTCACTGTACAATTTACAAGGGAGGATGGGTTGTCATGGTTCAGCACTGGCCAATTTCATCAAGGATTTGTCCATTAAAATAAATTAACCACGTTTTTTCTTTATCTAATATTTCCCTATTTCTCTGCATCTAGCATTTCCCTATAGTTTCAGTATTTCTCTGCAATTAGCATTTCTCTGTATTATTTCCCTGTATACAGTATTTATCTGCAATTAGCATGTCCCTTTATACAGTATTTATCTGCAATTAGCATTTCCCTGTACACAGTATTTATCTGCAATTAGCATTTCCCTGTATACAGTATTTATCTGCAATTAGTATTTCCCAGTATACAGTATTTATCTGCAATTAGCATTTCCCTGTATACAGTATTTATCTGCAATTAGTATTTCCCAGTATACAGTATTTATCTGCAATTAGCATTTCCCTGTATACAGTATTTCTCTGCAATTGGCATTTCCCTGTATACAGTATTGTCAACCATTAACATTAAGACCCCCCCCCTCCATGTAATGTCGTCTTCAACCTAAAAACTCCTCTCGGAGACAAGAAACCAAACCAAACAATTTCAGCCCGCTTCCCTTTGTTCTCCGACAACGGAGTATAAACGTTTATTAATTGTGAACCACTTCAAAGTTAAGCAAGAATATTTTCATATAAAGAATTAGTGACCTTCCTCAACATTTAATTGTTAATCTTTTCAGAAGTTTTAATGTATAAAAAGCGTCTTAGGACTTTTCGACAGTTAACCCACAAATAAGCAAATAGATCGTAAGAATCTTTTCATTATAAATTTGTAAACCATTGTAACAATTATTTATCATTATTCATTTCATTTTTTTTAGGAAATAAAGAGTTTTCTGCATTATCGATTTTGATTTGAGGGTTATTCCTTGTCTATCTGTTCATCGTCAGAATCTTGTTCCTTAGCGACAACAAGTATTTATCTGCAATTAGCATTTTACTGTATCTGTAATAAATCCAGCCATCCTCATATTTGTTAACCTGAATATACCTAGATATATCACGTTGTACATTGTCTGTAAACCTTTAAGATCTAAATATGTATTATTTGCTTAAAAATACATTTAAATATCAAATAATCTGACAAGAAAACTATGCAGAGGCGTTTCTTTCAATTTATTGCAAAATGTACTAGAGAAAGATAATATCAAAAATATCCACATTAGTAAAATTTTACGTAATGTACGTTATATTGAAGCATTAAGTTATATTACAGATATTTCAAAAACAATCGAAATTTTAGAAAAAAACGATATTTCTAGCTTGTTAAGGTATCAAAAAATTAATCATTTTAGAACAGTATTGTTTAGATTTTCTTTTTTTCCAAAGCAAGTGCATTTAACTACTAATTTTCCCCTAGCACTTTACCTCTTAAAAGTTAAATATATAACTGTATAAGTAGCAGAAAATTACAACTAATCTACACCGAAGACGACATTCATTATCTTCTTCAGAGAATACTACACTGAAACCACGCAAACATTTTCTTGAGTTTGGATTGTTTTCTAGTTAATAATAGATCTCCTTCAGCCCCACCTCCCTCAACCCTCTCCATCTCAACCTGAAATATAAATATATTGCAATTTTAAAGAGACTGTTATCGAAATTTTAAGTATGCTTAAAAGCATGGTCACAACAGCAATTTCTACAAATACAGATACAGGGTGTCCCACGAAACATGACAATTGGTGAATAGTTTTGCATGTCCTCTTCCATATACTATCTTAAATATTAAAGACTGTTTGCAGTTTATTTCGCTCAAAAATCTTTTAATCAAATATATTTTACTTTGAAATCAATTTTAATATGACTTCCAAAATTCCATGTAATATTTTTTTTCTTTCTGTTTGGTATCAAAGAATTTCACAAATTATGAAAGAAGATATTTAAAACTATTCACCAACTGTTATGTTTCGTGGGACACCCTGTATATAATAGCGGGTCTACACAGGGTGACTAAATAAACTAGAGTAAAGTGAACAATTATAAAAATTTTTATTGATTTTAGCGGCATTTTTTTCTGTGAACACAAATAAATTATATAGTATTCTCTACTCAGTTAACAACGTTTACAAAATGTCATTTTTGAACTTAAAAACTATAGGAGAGAGATCCAAATAATTGTCATATGGTGGTCAGCGATTATATCAGTACAATGAAGACGACTTATTTCTTAAAGTTTTTATTGTTAACAAGCTTTTTTCGAATTTATACAAGTTTACAAGCAATCAGAGAGAAGCTTTTTTAATTGACAGCTTCTCTTTGTTTCCATGTTTGGGTGAATGCAATAAAGATAAAAGCTTGATATAAATCAAAATTGGGTGACATATCGATATGACTATAATGATTAATTGAACTAACGATAGTTGTACTATTAACGTTCATTTGGACTAACGTTCAAAAGGACTATAGTCTTAATGAACAAATATTCGTTCAATTGAACTAAAACCCACGAGGAAACATTTCAACTGCGTGGAGAATTGTCACGTGGGTCATTTAATGTTTAGCTCCACTGACAAAATCTTAGAACAAAATAAAAAAATAAAAGTTTAATTGGACTAAAACCGTAAGAAGTGGGGAAATCCTTAATAGTTCATTTGAACAAAATTTTATAGAACAAATGAGCAAAAAAAAATTCAATTGAACTAAAGTTAAAATTTTCATAATTTTGCCCCAATTTCCAAATTAGCTCAAACGAACACATTTTAGAACAATTGAAAAAATAAAAGTTTATTTGAACTAACGTTAAAATTTTCACCATTTTGCCACAAGTTCCAAATTAGTTCAAACGAACAATTTTCTGTCGAAAATGTTCAAATTAGGACTAATTTGTTCAAAAGCACTGAAATGTTAAAGAAAATATTTAGTCCATTTGAACAGCTTTTCTGTGGAAAATGTTCAACTTAGATAATGTTCAAATGCCATAAAATAGCACAAAGATCAATTGCACTAATGATAAATTGCAATAAATGAAGATTGGCGGGAAAAAGACATAATAAGTTCAGTTGAACATGTTGAATGTCGATTTTGTTCATATGGAATAATGCTCAAATGGACTAAAAACCGGTTTGTGAACACCTGACTTGCAATGCAATTGTATGATAGTCTAATCGGCCTTTAGTCCTATCGATATAGCATCCAAAATTGTTATCGAAAGTCGTCTTCATTGTATTAATATATGCGACGATGACTGTATGTCACATAATATACAATGGTCGGCGATTATATCAATACAATGAAGACGATTTTTATTAATATTGCTTTGATCCCTAAAAACTTAAATCTGGCCAATTTTTATAACTATTTAAGAGTTGCTTGTTGCAACAGTACGGAAATTATTCGACGGCACCGTAAACAGTCGCAATTATATTTAACTATTTTTAATTAAAGAAAAAAAACATCTGTTAAACAAAGTTATGAAAAAGGTTGTTTAACAAGAAATTCAGGTTGAAGAAAATTACACTTGTGAATATCAAGGTAATCTCCATATAACGTAATATTGCATTATCACATACAGGGTTACCCACAAAGATGAGGTGTCTTTTTTTATTACTAATTCAGCAGCTGTACGCTATTCTGCAGCTTCTTGCTTTACCAAATCACGAATTAAAAATTATTCTATTTTAAGACAAAAGTTATGAAGACCTAATGTAACCTGTACCTGTTCTGTTCTTTGAATAATAGTCTCTAGAACACTGCTGGTTTCTTCAGCAAAACTCTTTGCTGCGATCTCTAACGTAGAACTTCCAGTTGCAGATGTATCAGGTTCTTTAGAGGTTTCTGAACTCAGGGTTGTAGGTAGAGTAGGTGTTCCAGGAGGAGCTAGGGGTGCCCCAGGAGATAAAGATGATATACCTGCTCCTATGGTTGAAGATAAATCTAGCCGGAAAGAGGAAGTGTTTGGAAAACTATGTGTTGGATCAGGGAAAGGAGTAGAAGAGGAACATGGAATCTCTTGTTCAAGATTTAAAGAAAAGTTTTCCGCTTTTAAGTTGGGTTTTTGAACCTCCAAAATGTCTTTTTCTGCTTTAGTTCTTGCCTCTTCTTCTGCTTTTACTCTTGCTTCTTCTTCTGTTTTTATTCTTGCTTCTTCTTCTGCTTTCATTCTTGTTTCTTCTTCTGCTTTTACTCTTGCTTCTTCTTCTGCTTTCATTCTTGCTTCTTCTTCTGCTTTAATTCTTGCTTCTTCTGCTTTAATTCTAGCCTCTTCTTCTGCTTTCACTCTTGCTTCTTCTTCTACTTTTATTCTTGCGTTTTTTTCTGCTTTAATTCTTTCTTCTTCTTCTGCGTTCATTCTTGCTTCTTCTGCTTTTATTCTTGCTTCTTCTTCTGCTTTCATACTTGCTTCTTCTGCTGCTTTCTTTCTTGCTTCTTCTGCTTTAATTCCTTCTTCTTCTTCTTCTTCTTCTTTTATTTTTGCTTCTTTGTATGCTTTATTTCTTGCTTCTTCTTCTACTCTCATTCTTGCTTCTTCTTCTGCTTTCATTCTTGCTTCTTCTTCTGCTTTCATTCTTGCTTCTTCTTCTGCTTTCATTCTTGCTTCTTCTTCTGCTTTCATTCTTGCTTCTTCTTCATCTGCTTTCATTCTTGCTTCTTCTTCTTTCATTCTTGCTTCTTCTTCTTTCATTCTGGCTTCTTCTTCTGCAATTTTTCTTGCTTCTTCTTCTGCTAATTTTCTTGCTTCTTCTTCTACTTTTATTCTTGCTTCTTCTTCTGCTTTCTTTCTTGCTTCTTCTGCTTTAATTCTTGCTTCTTCTGCTTTAATTCTTGCTTCTTCTGCTTTAATTCTTGCTTCTTCTTCTTCTTTTATTTTTGCTTCTTTGTCTGCTTTTATTCTTGCTTCTTCTTCTGCTATTTTTCTTGCTTCTTCTTCTGCTTTCATTCTTGCTTCTTCTTCTGCAATTTTTCTTGCTTCTTCTTCTGCTTTCATTCTTGCTTCTTCTTCTGCAATTTTTCTTGCTTCTTCTTCTGCTTTTATTCTTGCTTCTTCTTCAGCTTTCAATCTTGCATCTTCTGCTTTCATTCTTGCTTTTTCTTCTGCTTTTTTTCTTGCTTCTTCTTCTGCTTTCATTCTTGCTTCTTCTTCTGCTATTTTTCTTGCTTCTTCTTCTGCTTTCATTCTTGCTTCTTCTTCTGCAATTTTTCTTGCTTCTTCTTCTGCTCTTATTCTTGCTTCTTCTTCAGCTTTCAATCTTGCTTCTTCTTCAGCTTTCAATCTTGCATCTTCTGCTTTCATTCTTGCTTCTTCTTCTTTTACCCTTGCTTCTTCTGCTTTAATTTCTTTTTCCTCGTCTCTTCCTTCTTTTATTTTTGCTTCTTCTGCTTTCACTCTTGCTTCTTCTGCTTTTATTCTAGCTTCTTCTGCATTCATTCTTGCTTCTTCTGCATTCATTCTTGCTTCTTCTTCTTCTTCTGATTTAATTCTTTCCTCTTCTTTTTCTGCTTTCACCCTTGTCTCTTCATCTGCATCTATTTCTGCCTTTTCTTCTGCCTTCTTTCTCACCTCTTCCTCTGCTTTAACTTTAATCTCTTCCACAGCTTGAACTGCTAATATCCTGGCCTGCTCCTCTTGCAATCTATTTTCTTCTTCAGTATGTTTGCTTGATTCTTGATGCTTACTGTTTTCCTTTTTTTCTATTTTATCTGAAATGTAATCTTTTTCCGACTTTAATACTTCTTCGTCAGAAGTGCGTTGAATCACACTTTCTTGGAGATCCAAATTACTCTTTGCCTCAACAGTTTCTTTGGCATATTTTGTAGTACCTATTAAGTTAAGAGAGTCATCAAATATATTGTTTTTAATGCTTCTACTGCTTGACAAATCTGTTGCATCACTTTCTCCGCTTTCTCCCATTCCTCTTCCAAGCCTTAACCTTCTCTCAACCACAGTAAGGTTGTAATATTTTCCATTGTGCTCCAGCTTCTCACTGTTAACTCCAGTATAATCCTCGTCATCAGAGTGGAGATCTAATTTCAAATCAGTGATACCATCTCCTTGATCATCTTGTAGTTGGTCAAGGAGTTCCCCTTTCTCATGAGTTTCTTCATCACTATCATGTGTGTCATCTTCATCAAAACCTTCCAGAGTTGTTTTAGCTCCTTTCAGTCCACCAACCATTTCTGAAACATGAACATTTTCATGAAGAATAAATTCTTCAACTTGATCTTCAAGATCAGAAAGTTCAGCAGTATCTTCAGTATGAACATTATTTGTTTTCTTCTCTGTACTCTCTGAACCATCCATTACAAGTTTCTCAATCAAAGTATCAGGATTTTCACCTTCTTTCATTGACTGAAAGGGATTTTCGGACAAAATAGGTGATTCGAATGGGTCCTTAATTTGTCCTAAGTTTCCTCCAAAATCCTTCTGAATATGGCCTAAGAATGGGTTGGTTTGGCTCGGTTGAAACGAGTTTTGAAAGGCGTCTACAGGTGCCATAAAGAACTCCCCTTCTTCCATAAAGTTGTCAAACTTATTCCCAGACTCTTGGAATGTGGATGATTCCATGATTTGGTTTGGAAAATGGTGTCCAAAGCCATGCTCCTCTCCGAATCCATTTATCTTAAATGGATTTGTTGTACCTGAATTCAGAGGTATACTTTAAGTTAAAAAAAAACATTTCTTATTCTGTCCAATGATTCCCAATTATGAGAAAAATAAATGAGTTAATTAAATTATACAAATATAGAAGTTTAAAGTAGAAGTGAATGCCCAGAAAGGTCGTCGACTGTGAAGAATAGGAAAATTTGATTTAAAATAGTCCTATATTAAGTAAACACAGGAATTGTGCCGTATAAACAGACCCGTTTAAAAAAAAAGTTTTTTTTCAAGCTATTGTATACTCCTTCCTGAACTTAAAAGAGGTTGTTCTGCTACTGCTGAGAACGGATCAAACTGATCAAAGAAATTAATCTTAGGTTCTGCTCCCAAGAAAGGATTAGTTTTAGATCTTTTATCTGAATCAAGTTCAGAGAGAAAATCTAGCTCAGTTGTTCCAGATGGAGAATCCAGTTTAGCAGTAGTTCCAGTAGGGGTATCAGGAACCAATACTGAAGTAGCTTCAGTAGGTGTATCTGACTTCGTAGATGGAGAATCAGATTCAGCACTATCTCCAGAAGCTGTATATGGTACCGAGGATGAAGAAGTGCCTCCAGCAGCTGGATCTATAGGCGGAGAATCTGGGTTATCTGTAGCTCCATCAGCTGTATCTAGAACCAAGAACAATGAATTAGGTTTAGCAGTAGCTCCTGTTGCTGTGACTGGAACTAAGTTTGAAGAGCTTGTCTCCAGAATATTCTGTAATCCTACCAGATCTCCAGACTTAGGTTTCTCAGCAGAAACATTTCCAACAATCTCAAAAACAGAATCATTGTTCTTCTTCTCTGGTTCTTTGAACAATTCGATATCATCAAGCAGTTTTATTTAAATCAATTTGATCCCCTTTTGTAGTTTCATTTAAATTAAGATCATCATGATTTCTAGTTTCAATATAATTGAGATCATCATTATTTGCAGTTTTATCAAAATTAATATCATCATAATTTACAGTTTCATTAAAATCAAAATAATTATTATTTGTAGTAAGATCACCATTAATTGCAGTTTCAATAAGATGAACATAATCATTATTTGCAGTTTAATGAAAAAAAGATCATTATTATGTGTAGCTTCATTAAAAATAAGTGAATAGTTTGTTGTTGCAGATTAAAAAAGTAAGTAAGCCAAAGACCAACGGTTGGATGGTACAGGGTTCCACAAAATTGGAGGTCATCTTTTCTCTTTAAATCAATTTGCAGCATTAATTAAAGATTTTAGAAGTCAATTTTTTATTCTTTCAAATTACCGGAGATAAGAATAAATTCGTTCAGATTTAGACAACTCAGATTTTATTTAATAAACTCAAATCAGTTAAACATTCTTTAACGATTTTTGTTTTAAGATCCAAACAGTGAGAACAAAAAACTATGGAAAAGGAAGACGACTTATTTATTATTTTATATGTCAAACGAACTAAGTGTGCTTAAACCATTTCACGGAATCAGTGATTATTAAGCTATTACAGTAAAACTATGTTCGCAGCAACAACATCAAATAAAATCAGACAATTGTTTAGTTTTCAAAGAACATGTAAAAAAAGGGCTGACAAATTAATGCCGCAAATTATTCATAAATCAGAGACTATCTTCAAGGCAAGGATGTAATGAAAGGAAAGTTATTTCAGAAGTGTACGCATCTTTTGTACTGCGGATGTCGAAGCCTGATATGGAATCCATCTTTTACAAAAAAAAAAATCAATAAAATATTCTGGTCATAGGGAACTATTATGTAAATTATCAAAATTATCAAAATTTAATGCTTTTAACCTCCTCGGATACTAAACGAACACTGATGCATCTATTCATGTTTACAAATTCCGCCGCAGAGTATACGTGACAGCAATTAACTTTCCTTACATTACAACCTTGCTTCAAGTCATCTCTCAACCATCTGCCATGTTTCGTGGGACACCCTGTAGATGAAATCTAGGAAAGGAAGATGGTAAAGCAAGTGTAAAAATATGAAAAGAATAAGTTTTGATAATATCCCTGGTTTAAAAGGATCAAGATCTGAACTGAAAAGATCTACTAGAGGATCGTTGTCCTCTTTCACCACATTGTTGTCCTCAACCAGGACAATATTGTTTAAGTGTCCCTCTGCGTCCTGTAGGACCAACAAACATAGGACCAACAATAATCGCCATTAAGGAAGAAAAACATAATGGAATGACAAAGATATATGTTTAAAAAGTCGTTTTTAATTGAGAAATGGAACCGTTAATATGAATTAAAAGTAACATTTTCTTTAAAATTATAACAAATAAACTACAGCATTAAAGGGACTGTAAGCATAGAGAATAGAATATATATTAGAGGGGAATTTTAAGAATCTCTCGGTATGAATTTTTTCAGTCCCTTTCATCCTGAAAGGGAGTTCAAAGTGTACAAATCATGTAAATGTTCACAAATTATGTGCAGTAGAGTACATAAATACAGTATGTTCCCTAGACTATTCATTTCAATTTCGAATTTTTAAACTGTTAAATAAACTTTATAATGAATTAGGTGAATAAAAAACATCATTTGCTTTATAGTTATAACGGAAAATCATTGTTTGTAAAGTGGAAGGCATAGAGTCTATGTGAAATGATCATTGGTCAATTATGAAACCAGCCTATTTCATAATTTGGTTTTCTTTTAACAATAGTTTTAGATTTTCTATAAAATGATATTCCAGGGCCCAAAAGGTTATATAGGATAAATATGTGAAGTACACCTGCAGTATGGAATCAGTACAACAAAATGGCCGTTTTACACTTTTTTCTAGTAAATTCCCCTCTAATATATATTCTATTCTCTATGACTGTAAGTGATCCTCCATGCAAAAATGCCAATGCCCGATTTACAACGCTACCCTTAAAACATTAAGCTCCTCAAAATGTGTAAAATACTGTCGTTTTTCTGATTTAAAAATTGTTTCATCTGATAATTTCTTCATCACTTTTTATAAAGAAAGAAATGTGCAAGTCACTTACGCAGAGAACCCGCTGATTGAAATTAACAGTTTAAAGAAACAAAAACATAGATTTTTAATTCATCCTTGATCAGACTAAGCTTGTAAGGGTACCGTTGTAAATCGGGCATAGCCATCTTTTAATAGAGGGTTACTTGAAATTACAATTACTGTCCCTTTAAAGGGCAATCATTAATGGTAAAATGACAAACACATTTTTTTTAAATCTCCGGTACAACCACCGATAGCTAGTTTATTGTGATAAACGTCTAAAAAGATTTTATGTTTATCGACTTAATGAATGTCCAAGGTTGGTCGTTTCCTGAGCTGTCTCCTCTGAATTCTGCACTCTCCAGTCTCCATCGACGATATACTTGTACATATACCTAAATATCGTACTGTACAGTAATGCACACTATACAGTGTACACAATTATTGTGCATATACCTAAATATTGTACTGTACAGAGTACATAGTGCATTGTACACTATACATGCAGTACATATGATGTTAGGTGCTTCTACAATGGTATTTTCCCAAGCGGCAACTTCCCAAGTCTGTCCTTGACGCAGCGCTCGGCTCCCCTAGCCTGTTCTAGCAGCAGCACTGGGCCCCCTATCTCATCCTAACCGGAGCGCTCGGCTCCCAAATGCAGCCTGTGGCGCCTCAGAAGGTCTTCTCTAACCTGCGGGAAGTTGCCGCTTGAGATAATGCACAGTTGGAAAATTGTCACTTGGGAAGTCATCCTTGAGAAAATGTCTATGAAAAAATACCTAAGACCGTACATAAACCTACAAGTTGTACCGTACAGTGTACTCAATCTTTTAACAACATTTGCTCACAATTTGTTCAGAGTACAATTTAAACTAAATTTTTGCAATGCGCAAATTTGTTCGATTTTTAAAACATTTTAAAATATACAAAAATTTTACAATTTAAAAATTTGATTAAAATGAGAAAAATTTGACCCTGCACGAACCTGCCTGGAGCCAGAGCCAATATTAAACTCCAATGTTCTCCATCCTGCCGGAGATCACGTGGTTCCCATATTGAGTCTTTGCCACAAAGACAAATTTTCGAATCCTAATATCTTTGCAACTAGGTGCTTTAAACCTTTAATATTTCAAACTTAGATTATTTGATATCTAAGGTTCTAGAACATTGGGTTGCAAAGATACAGGGTTTAGAAAATCAGAATTTGTGGCAAAGACTCAACTCCTTTTAAGAAATGTATTCATACACAGGGAAAAAACCAGACGTTTTATAATAAAAATCAGAAACATAAACCTACTTCCTGAAGCAAACATTGATACAACTCAATTTATACAGAATACATTTTTTCATTCCGTACATATGGTGGATATTTAGAAGTTTAAAAACATGTTTATATCTAATGCTTATTCCTCGTATGGAGAAACATATGTATCAAACTATATTCAACAAATAAACATCTAAAATAATTTATTGAATTTCAAAATAATGTTCTTTAGGGGTTGCTTTGAATAATTTTGTCAAGGTTCAAACAATTAACATTCCTGCCTATCATGATAGGAGTGATTAGTACAGTTTAGGAAAAACAGAGCACAGGTGCGTATACTGGTATTAACTAACACTGACGAAAAGAAATGTAAAGAGGGAGATTAAAAAAATGAGTATAAAAATTACACAGAACAATGTGAGAAAAATGCGAATGAATAAGATAGGATATGAATCGTAAAAGAAAGTTAAGAAAATATAATAAAACTAAGAAAGGATGAAGGGTAGGACAGGTAAAGAGGGAAGACGGGTGAACAGGGCAGTACGGAGAACAAGACAAAAATTGAGAACAGGATAGGACGGGAGAACATGACAGGACGGGAGAACAGAACAGGACGGGAGAACAGAGTAGGACGGGTGAAGAGGGTAGGACTGGAAAACAGGATAGGACGGGAGAGCAGGATAGGACGGAAGAACAGATTAGGACGGGAGAACAGAATAAGACGGAAGAACAAAATAGGACGGGAGAACAGGATAGGACGGAAGAACACGGTAGGACGGAAGAACAGGGTAGGACGGATGAACAGGGTAGGCCGAGAGAACAGAGTAGGACGGAAGAACGTAGTAGGACGGGAGAACAGAGTAGGACGGGTGAACAGGATAGGACGGGAGAACAGGATAGGACGGGAGAACAGGATAGGACGGGAGAACAGAGTAGGACGGGAGAACAGGATAGGACGGGAGATCAGGGTAGGACGGGTGAAAGGGATAGAACGGGAGAACAGGGTAGGACGGGTAGGAAGAAAAGAGATGGATGAGTAAGTTTGAACCATGAATTACTGATGAATCATTTATACCTGCACATTCTTACATCTTCCGTCTTTCCACTCAAACTTTACATCTCTAAACAAACAACACACTTTATATCCCTTAACATCAATATACTTTATATCCCTAAACCAAACGTACAATAGACACACAGCTTTGTCTTTTCAAACCATTGCAATTTACATCAGATAATTCTAAAACCACGAAACAATATAATTATGATGTTATGTTTCCCTCCTTGAATATACAGGATTACTCACAAAGGAAGAGACTTTATAGAGACGAGTGCATACCGAATGTTTACAATTATTTATGATTCCATGCAAATGTAAACGTGTTTCTTTTATGTTCCTTATTATTGATTGAATAAACCATAATAAGATTTTATTCAAGGTAGACGACTTAATTTTTAGAGTCTTAGGTCGTCTTTACAGTCTCATCCTTTGTGTGGTAACCCTGTATATAGAATGGTGAAAACGGAAATGTTGCACCTTGTATATTTAATTGACCCAAAATTTACCAAATTTTTAAAACACATATTAATTTAATATTTACATTATACATGTCTTGTAAGTTTCAATTCATGCATTAGAGACAAATTACCACAAAATATTTTTTAAAACCAAAACTCAGAGTTTTTGACTCAGTAAGGTTAAATTCAACTAGAGATAGACATCGTGTGTTCGTTTGTTATTCAGTTTTCAATATACTATAGAATCTGACACATTTAAAATATTTCAAAATTGTAAGCTCTTTATATATGTAGGTTTGTTTTTATTGCTAATTGTATACATTGTTCAAGATATTAACCAAAACAATTATGAAAAGCGATGGTAAAATAGGGGTTGTCTAATATCTATAGGTCAGAGTAATTTCTTTAATAATGCAAACCATTGAGCATATAATTATTCTTAAAAAACTTTATAAGATAAAAAGTTAAAAAATAAACGTTGCCATCTCTCTGCTAAACTCCATGTGATCGATTAACCTGTAGTATCTGGTTCCTGTGGATGGATTTAAACCAAAACGCTCAGGGTCCAAGCTAGACATTTTTAACTTCTAAGAATTAAGAAAAAAAAATACAAAAAGTTGCCAATTTTACCGAGAATTTTACGTAGGTAGGTATACGAATACAGTTTACGTCCACAACAAAACATTAACAAAAATATTACCAAATAAATAATGTCACTAACAGAATGGAAAGGGGGCATCACCTCCCCATCCAACCCCCCCCCCCATCTCGACATTCTAGGAACAAAGGATCATAGCCCCCCTCTGAATACTCATGCAGTGAAATCAATACCTAGGTCACAGTATCAATATATCAATATCACATGTTCACGAATTCAGCCTTATTTATGCCAAAACTAGGCAATGAGAGGGGGGGGTTGATATTACTTTTTCATGAAAAAAAATAAATTAAAGCTAAAATTCGATTATTAAAACCAGTATAACAGAACTCAATAAGCTGTACAAAAAATAAATAAATAAAAATTTAACATCAAGATTTTATTCTGGATATTTGTGCTGTTAAAGATTGCCAAAGATGATTGACATTTACAATATTTCATAATTTGATTTCGAAGATTCCAAAACATCGCTACAGGGTGAATATTTTCAGGTCAAGCTGGGGAAATCACAATATTTTGTAATAATTAAAATTCTAAGATTTTTAACTCTTACAGATGCAGTCTGCAGCGCGCGTTATAGATAGATATTCTCAAAACCGCCCCCACCCTCTCTACAGTAATAACCAGAAAACAATGGAATAGGAAGACGACATAGCAATAGTTAAGTGAAAAAGATGTTAAGGTACTGACTTACAAAGCAAATAGTTTTACTAGACACTTATTAAACTACTAATTTAGTGATATGGGTCTGTTTACACTGCACAATGCCCGGCCGTGTTTCTTGCCCATGAACTTTTTAAGGTCATAACTTAATAATAAAGTTGTCTTTCTATTTCAGAATTGTCTGGTTATCACTGTAGCAAAATAGTGTAGTTGCGACTCTGTTGGTCTGCATTGAAGTATATTCTATTTATGACTAATCTGTTTGCAATGCTGGGAGTTTAACACAAGTGCACACGCTGCAGCAGCTCCTTCCAGCCATTCACCGGTCACGTGGTTTAAACTCTCTAAACGGNGGAGAGAGAATATCCATGGGGGGAATTACGAGGAAGGGGGAATTGCAAAGAGGGACGTGAATGTACACATAGTCACAAATTCTATTTTCTGTGAGATAAAGAACATCGAATTAGTTATGTATTTCCGATTAACTTCTAGGGGGGCCGCAGCCACCCCAGCAAAGAAATATCTCATACATCCATTATACTTTTCTCTATGCTGTAAACAACAGATTTTACTGCTTCTTCCCTTTTCGATCGGTTGTTCAGATTCGAAAAATTATCATTTCTATTTAGGCCCATAAAAAGGACTTTTTAAGGCGTTATTTCATGTGATCCTTTTGTAGATTGGCTCGTCCGATTCACAAGAGTACCTTAAACTGAGCAAGATTGTCGAATTTCGCATATCTCTTTCCAGAAACGCTTTTTATTGTTGAACATTTTGTTTGCAAGATTTGCAAGTTGTTTAACATTTACAAAATATTAAAATACACTTTCTAGAAATATCAGAGAAATTAGAGAAACTTCGTTGAGTTCACACCGTACCCAGCGTACACCGGTTATTCAAGGAATTCAAGTAGTTTTCGATAGATTTACACACAACGCTCTCTGTTCCTTATTAACAGTTTAAGGATTAAAGGATTAAAGCCGGGTATTGCCCTCTTTGGATGAAGGGTCACTAGAAATTACGCTTACAACCTTTTCAAGGAAAACAAACTTTGTTAAAAAATATTTTCCAAATTCCTCTATAGTATCACTTAAAAAATGGCAACTTAGATTCACAAATATTTCTTTTCAGAATGAGCTTAGATGTCTTGTTTATACATTTGTGCATTGTCTACGTATAGTGTGTGAACTCCCGACTTAAACCTGTTGAAACCGCAATATTTTGCAAAAGATATAAAAAACATGATATTTAATTTATACAAGTTTTCATACAAAAGAAAAGACAATTTGACGATTACTCACATTCCTTTCCTTGAAGTACATTAAGAACAATGGACAAAGTTTATGGAGGGGAACAACAAATTAAATTTCCGAAATCAGGGCAATTAATATACATATAGTATCACAGTTTTAAACTTTTCGTCAAAATCTATCAGACAATCTTTAAAAAAAAACTCGTTCAAAATGTCGTAAATTTATTTAAATCTAAATAATTTATCAATAAAATATGTTTATAATATTATTATATATACTAAAATCAAATAAGTTGAGATCATTAAAACTGATTAAGAAAATGTTAATCGAGAAGAAAATATATCTCTGAACAGTAAAAATGTTCAACGAGGCTAGATAGCAGATAGATTGACTACTATACTAGCAATAATAGTTTAGATTTACTACTATACTAGCAATAATAGTTTAGACTATTTATCAGCTTTGTAGCTTAATAGTTTAGATTTACTACTATACTAGCAATAATAGTTTAGACTATTTATCAGCTTAGTGGCTTAATATGAATAGCTTGTTTAGCTATACAGCTTATTAGCTACAGATTAGCTCGTATAAGCGATATAGCTAGTGGTAGATATAACATTAAAAAACTACTAAAAAGATTACTCTTAGCCATGAGTGAACTATACAGATTTACCAAGAAGTAAGGGATTAGGAACGACCCGGCCCGCCCCACCATATTATTATACATTTTATGGGATGCAAAAATATTGGCAATACAAACGTATTTTTTATAATATAACAAATCGGAATTATTTTATATGGCAAAGTAAAAAACACATTTAAAAAAATAAAAGACGACCTTTAAGAACTCTTTTTCAAATGAAGTACCGTCTCTGAAGCATGTATAATCATATGGCGGGCCAGGTCGTTTCCTTCTCCCTTATATTCCATACTCCTTGAGATTTATCCAAAACGGATGAACTGTAAACTGTAAAGACGACATGAAACTCTCTAAAAATGAAAAACCCATTATTAAATTAATTTTTTTTGACTTGATTGTATCTTAAAATGGCTTATTAGATGATTTGTAAGAAAAAGAAACACGTTAACAGTTGCAAGGAATCATGAATATGAGGAAATAAACTGGGTTAACAGTTGCAAGGAATCATGAATATGAGGAAATAAACTGGGTTAACAGTTGCAAGGAATCATGAATATGAGGAAATAAACTGGATAAATTCTGTCAATTAATTGTCCCTTAAGTCTTTTCCTTTTTGGGTCACCCTGTATATAAATTTTGTAAATTAGAGAAGTTTTTTTTGAGATTTCAATTTAGAGAACAATAGAATAAGAACATTAAACAAATTCGTTATAAAAATAGTTGTTGAGATCAAATATAAAGCTCTGCTTATAAACTATCAGGTACAAAATTACAATAGATTGCCGTGTTTTAGTTCCGGATTAACAGATCACAGAGAGTTAAGTGAACATCTTTCAATCATGTTTTAGAGAACCCATTAGAAACTTCATTATAAAAGTGGCCTTAAAATATATCTCCAGGTATAATGCTCCAAAGATTTTCATTCCCTGTGTTCCGGAAAATGCAGGTCAGGACTAATGATAGCCATCAATTCTGGAGATGTACGTTCAATCTCTTGTTCGCGAGCGATCGCAGTTCCGCGCTTTGCAGCTTGTTCCAGTTCGACTGAATCGGGATGCACATTATGTTCATGCGGGTATTCTTTTGTAGCGTGTTGTTGACGCTCTCCAACGTGTACAATGCCGTGATGTGTCGCGTGTGTGTCGTGATCTTGCGCAGTTCCTGTAAATTTTTCTCGCTCTTGTGGTTCCTTTTTTACATCAGTATGTTCCGTTTCTGAGCTTTCCAGTTCTTAACAGGTAAAAAAGTATGAGAAAACTGGATCAGATTCTTTTTGGGGAAGATCCAGGGGCAGGGGGGGGTGCTTGGGTTAAAACAGACACCCTCATATGTAATTTCGACAATATGCAAATTATCTATATCCTACACATGGGACCAATAGTTTTAAAGTGACATGTCAGATTCACAAGGGTACCGTTCAAACCTTTGTCTTAAAAGAATGATTAAGATATCCTTGTTTTCTATCTTTAAATTTATCAACTTCAAATGTGGTTTACTATAAAATCGCTTTTCGGAATTATGCTCCTAAGACAGTCTTATAAATTAACAGAATTCAACATTACGATATCTTCCTTATTGTTACAAAGCAAAACGGACATACCACTCTCAACATGGGAGGTAAATACGGACATACCACTCTCAACATGAGGTAAATACGGACATACCACTCTCAACATGGGAGGTAAATACGGACATACCATTCTCAACATGGGAGGTAAATACGGACATACCACTCTCAACTCTCAAATGAAATAAATATATGCTGCAGCAAATCCAGAATCAGATAAACAAGATTGAAAAAATCTTTGTAGTCAGTAGTCACAAGTCATCCTTAGATGGCAAACATGAATTTGTCAAATTTGAAATATTTTGTTACCTTCTGATGATGTTAAACCATGAATTGGACTTATGAAATGATGCAAAGACGGTTTCCATTCACTCGCCGTTTCCTGAAATTTTACTATGTTAAATAAAAAAAATATTTCCTTAAAAAAGTTTCCTAGATGTCATGTAGGATGTCATTAACTTGTTAATTTCGGGTTCACTCAAACAGATTTACCCAAAAGGATGTGAAGAAGACCTGAAACACTTTAGATACCGCTATCAGAGGAATGAATTAGGTCGGCTGCTTTAAAAGACGCAATTTGATAGTAATCTAGCCACTGCCAGCCCGATGTGAATATACAACATTGGTAGGCGATTATATCAATACATTTTTTATTTAAGTTTGTAAGTCATCAAAGAGAAGCTTTTTAATTAACAGCTTCTCTTGACGTAGTATGTTTTTGTGTATTGCCACCCCACTCAGAGATCCTATTTCTAGGTTCTCACTGTTGCTGTTCTTTTATTCTCCTCTTTCATCTCCAGGATGGCACCACTAGTCTTTATACTATTTTGATCTATATCTTGTCCATGCTATTTCATCTCTTTCATGTCTCATCTCTAGCGGTGTCCTTATTCCAGATATATGCCAACAAGAAGAAGATCCTAAAGGCCTTCCCGTGTTACTACTACTTTATCTTCTGGATCCCGGTTCCTACGGATCCTTGTACTCACTCTCTTTCTCCTGTGGCCTGTCCTGCGCGTCCTCGAGCTCCTCCTGCTCGGGCTAGACCAGGCGGCTCCTCTCCTCCTTGCTTACTGTGTTCCCGTCCTAGAAGTGGCCAGGCGACCTTTGCCTGGACAGGACTAAGACTCTCTTGACCGGAGCAGATACCACAGATGTGTTACTTGCGTATCAATGATGTTTAACACCTTGATATAAATCAAAATTGAAATTAAAAGTCGCGTCGTCTTCATAGTATTGATATAATCGCCTACCACTGTAAATCAGAATGAAGCAATCACAGTGTGCTTGAAGGACCTCTAAGAGATAAGACAAAATCCGTGTAACTTTTTTGAGATTCTGAAAGAGCTCATCAAGAAGAACATTTTTCGATATGTAAGAACTTTTTCTTATGGCGACGTTTTCTGCAATTCGCATATTTGCACAGCAGTGTTTTATTCACCTTTTTCATCGCTTTAAATAGTACCATACTTTAAAATATTTTGGAAAAATACCCGTATTTAGTTTTAATTTTTTAGTTGAGGATATAATTCTATTTTTTTTTTTTTACTTTTTACTTCTATTCCAGATTCATTCAGGCCTTAATGGTGCTGCTATATGTGTATTGGAGATTTGTTGGTTATATTCCCTCCTAGAGTAGACCTGCCTGAAGTCCAAGAGCTTTTGTTTACCATTTACTCTAGACCTTACCCCTGATCCTTCAATCTAGACATTTTCATACTTTATTTTTCTCTGGATAGATTATACATTCAAAAGAATGTATAGACACAGAATTTCTTCTGGATACATTTAGGGCTCCATCTTTCAGTCCAAGCGTGTCTCATTTCCATTCTTTTAAAACTAAACCTTTTTTTATCTTTACTATAAACCCTATAGGATAAGGATGGGTTTAGAGTAAAGAAAAAGGATAGGCCAAGAGTAAAAGATGTGGATTTTTTAGAGGAAAGTATAAGTGTAAGTTTAGGAGTGAAAGATAAGGAAAGGTTAAGAGTAGACGATTAGGAGTAAATGATATGAAAGGGTTTAAATGAGGAAAAGAAAAGGTTAAGAGTAGACGATTAGGAGTAAATGATATGAAAGGGTTTATATGAGGAAAAGGAAAGGTTCAGAGTAGACGATAAGGAGAAAAGATAAAGATGGGTTTAATTTAAATGAAAGGATAAGGAAAGGTTCAGAGTAGACGATTAGTACTAAATGATATGGAAGTTTTCAAAGTAAAGAATAAGGGAAGGTTTAAAGAAAAGGATTGTTAAGTTCTATTTCCTCTTGGTGTGGAACTACTTCAAGTCAACAGGAAACGTCTTTAAGATCTTTCGTTAACTTTCATCTTTTATTTACTCTTTCTCAAAACTCTTTATTATCCTTTTTCTCATAAACCTTCCATTCCTTACTTTCTAATTAATGACCTAAACACTTTCTTTTCCTTTAATTTAAACATATCCTTACACTTTACTTCAGATCTTTTTTAACCTTTGCTCTAAGCCATTTCTATCTTTAATCTAAACCCTTCCATTTCTTTTCCTTGTCATCTTTTCCTTAATCTTTACTCTATACCTATCCTTATACTTTACTTTTACTCTAAAGTTTTCCTTATCTTAACTCTAACCCCTGCCATGTCTTTTACTTTTAATCTTTTCTTTCTCCTTTGATTAAAACTTTCCTTATTTTTTACTCAAAACCTTTCCTTGTCCTTTAATCAACACCTTTCTTTACTCTTAACTCAAACCTTTCCTCGTCCTTTAATCAAAATCTTTCCTTATTCTTTACTCAAAGCCTTTCCCTTTTTTTTTACTGAAAACCTTTACTTATTCTTTACTCATAACCTTTCATGTCCTTTAATAAAAACCTTTCCTTATTCTTTACTCAAAACCTTTCCCTGTTCTTTACAAAAACCTTTCATTATTTTCTTAACCTTTCCTTGTCCTATAATCAAAGCCTTTCCTTATTCTTTACTCAAAACCTTTCCGCATTCTTTACTCAAAACCTTTACTTTTTCTTTACTCAAAACCTTTCCTTTTTTAGTCACTCAAAGTTTTTCCTTTTTCTTCACTCAAAACCTTTCTTTGTCCTTTACTCAAACCTTTCCTTATTCTTAACAAAAAAACCTTTCCTTGTCCTTTAATCAAAACCTTTCTTTACTCTTTACTCAAACCTTTTCTTGTCCTTTACTCGGAACTATTAGTTATTCTCTACTCGAAGCCTTTTTTATTCTTTTAAAAATGAAAGGGTAGGATTAAATGAAAAGGAAAGTTTTAGAATAGAGGATAAGGGGAAAGGTTTAAATAAAGAGTATGGAAAGGTTCAGAGTAAAGGATAAGGGGAAAGGTCTGAGGTAAGGGTATACAAAAACATTGGAGACATTAATATTTTACATTTTGCAACTAAATACTGGTATTTTTGCAAAATTTTCAAAGTAAGTTTTTATATTTAGAGCTGAAAATATGAAATAAACATTATTTTGCAAATATGCAAATTGCAGAAAAAGTCGCCATAGGAAAAAGTGCCGACATATCGCAAAATGTTTGTCTTGGTGAGCTCTTTCAGAATCTCAAAACAAGTTACATGGAATTTGTCTTTTCTCTTAGAGGTCCTTCAAGCACACTGTGAATATTGTATAATAATGTTGATTACTCTTCTAGTGCTCCCCCCTTTACGGAGAATGTGGTCTCCTTAGCATAGATAGATAGAATCCACATATGCCGTCACGATCTTGCCTTTGTAATCAGTAACGTCATTATGCGGATTCTAGAGTGTGAGTGTTTGCAGCCTCAAATTTTACTTCTTATATGATGTTTAGATGCCTTAGATGATTGAGGATGGGAAGATGTTACTTTCCAAGTTTTTATGTTATTGCTTTTCTTTGTGCTACAGAACAAAAAAAAAAACTTTACTACCGACGGTGCTTGAAAAAAATGCAGTTTAGTCATGAGAGCTTTAAAATCTGATGAACCATAAGTGTTTGCAGATAACTCAAAATGGCACTTAAATATAAAGTTCTAGAACAAAAAACATCATTTACAAATAGTCAAAAGCTAATTTAAAAAAAAAATTTTTTTTTTAATATTTAAAGGTAATTTATCAAATTTTGTTCGACAAATTTTTTATTTTTTCTTTTAACGTGGCCTCTCATTGATTACCATTTAACATATCCTGTTCTTTGCGGAGTTCAGTGCTTGGATCTACCCCCCAATAAGTCCCAAAAAAGTTCTCTTGGAACGTTTACCAAGGGTCATATTTACTCTCAAACTGTGTCCAATTCTGATGCAGTTTTCTTTTCAGACTAATTCAAGAAAACTAAAAAGGGTTGAGGTCGAGGTAGTTGGGTGTTTAGTCCATGAGAGTTGGGAAACTTAAAAATTTACTGTTGACCTTTATCACGTTTATAAAAGAAAACAATGTTGTTTTTGATATTTCCAGCAACTTTACTTTTCAGCGCTACTTTGTCATAAATACTGTTTTTACACAGGTGCAGAATATTTAGATTGTAAACACTTTCAGGTCGCACTGTATTATCTATCTATGGTAAGCAAACCACATTTTACGTTAGGTTTTACGATTTGCAATGACTACATTATTACAGCTATAGAGAACCAGGAAATTTGGTAAAATGGCTTTATACAAAGTCTCATCTTTTGTGGTTTACCCTGTAAAATGGAAGCCTACCTCGGGATGATATCTTCTGAGATGAGAAATCATGGATGAGGTACTCTGGTGATAGGCTAGAGACTTCTGGCATAGGTTACAGATTACACGACTATACAATACATGATTACACGTCTTTACAATACAAAATTACAAATTACACGTCTATACAATACTAGATTACAGATTACACGTCTTTACAATAAAAGATTACAGATTACACGACTATACAATACAAGAATGCAGATTACAGGTCTTTACAATTCGAGAACACAGATAACACGTATATACAATACAAGATTACAGATTACACGTCTATACGGTGGTAGGCGATTTTATCAATACAATTAATACGACTTTCGACTTGAATTTTGATTAAAATCAGTCTGTTAAACAGCATGGATAAATATAAACATAGAAGTCAAGGAAACTTAACATTTGAAAAAGCTTCTTTTTGATTACTTATTAACTTGTAATTCGAAAAAAAGATTTTAACAATAAAAACTTGTATAAAAAGTCGTCTTCATTGAATTGATTTAATGGTTTACCACCATACAATACAAGATTACAGATTAGACGTCTATACAATACAAGATTACAGGAAACACGTCTATACAATACAAGAATACAGACTTTACTTATATACAATACACGATTACAGATAACACGTCTATACAATACAAGAATACAGACTTTACTTATATACAATACAAGAATACAGATTACACGTCTATACAATACAAGATTACATAATACACTTCTATACAATACAAGAATACAGATTACACTTCTATACAATACAAGAATACAGACTACACATCAAATAGTCAAACATACAAGAAGTCATGAGTGTTTGAAATTAAGTATAAATCTAAACAAGAAAAACTATGTAGCAGTTCAAAACAATAGATTCTCATTCTTAAGGTTGACCCAATAATATTTTCTAAATATCTTTTTTCAAAAATACTTTGTTTTTTTTATTTCACGAATTTTGTGATACTTTTTATTCAATTCTTTATATCTTATTGGTCAAAAGTGTCTCAGGACTGATAAAGATGCAAAAAAAATATTTCCCAGTTTAAAGTTCTACAGATAGAAAACACGTGTTCGGATTTTTACAGCATGAAAAAGGATAAACTAAAATTAAAACTTATAAGTTTAAATTCTGAAAATATTTAACTAATTACCCTGGTTCTCCTTCCTTAAACCCCATAAAATTCCAGACCCAGCTCTTCCCTCTGGGTAATCTATGGGTCTCAGTTTCATCTAGTTCCTGGGGTAGTGCTTCGGCGTGTAGGGGACCCTGGACAATATAAGTATAAAAAGGGAATGTTGTGGCGGAAGACGATCTAGACTGAGCCGGATATGGAGACGCGGCAAGATGAGCAACAATTCTGCCACGTCACCTCTATATATATAATTTTGATATTTTAAATTTAGAAATCGATATATAGTTAGTAATAAAGTTATTTATTTAAACCTCGGACTTATCAAACGGAGCGTAGCTAAAATGTCAACGTTTCAAATGACCCCCTATCTACAAGCTACATGCCAGATTCACAAATGTATTCTTCATACCCTAATCTCATATAATCGTTGTCCTTTCTAAGTAAGTGTTAAATACGTTTTTATTTTTGATGCAAAAATCCGTAAGTTACACTTGTGAAGAAATCACAAATGAACATTATCATGTTCTTGATAGAAAACTAGGATATCTTCATAACGTTTGCATAGAAATAGGTTTAAAGTATACCGTTGTAAATAGGAAATTCACCCTTTAAGAATAAATAAAAAAGAGAAGGAAAATAAGTTATTTTCTATGTAAACTTATTAAACATAAGTATTGAAAAAATCAAATTGTATGCTATATCAATTGTAATTTTTTTGTATTTCAGAGTTATGTGGAAAATAAGAATTTTTTTAACGGAAATTGCAAACGAAAAAAGTAATAAAGATCAGTAACAAATAAAAAAAACGTCTATTTAACATTGGAAAATAGAACTTTTAGTTGGAAATTGTTCGAGTTTAAAGAAAATGTGAAAGTTTTTAAGATAAATTACTGATAAAAGTTTTTTCAAAGTTTAGAGTATTTTAGAAAGAACGAATTTTTTATATGGAAAAATGTTTGAAAAAATTATTTTACTTAAAAATGTTTTTTTTAAATTCATGAAGATAAAAAGGTCTACAATTACAAGTTAGCTCTTCTTATATTATGTACTAACCTGATACTGGATGTAGGACTGAGGTTCATTACTACTTACCCCAGAAACACTTTGCTCCTAAACATATAATAATATTGCACAGAATAAAACAGTTGTCTAAAATATTTTACAACATTCTTATCGGATTTACTACGTAGCCAAATCAGCAAAAATTCTTATTATTCACACCCATTTCGTGTAATAAAAATTATGATTTATTCACGAAATAGGTGAAAATAATACGAATTAGTCACGGTAAATTGATAGATCAGCAATTTAATTCTAGAAAATCTAGATATTTATCAGAATCTGTTCGAGTGTAACATAAATATTTTAAGGATTTACAAACATATTTACAAAAATATTACAATTTTTTTATATATTTTACCACGTTTCATGTTAGCAGATAGGTTTTTAAATTTAATTTTGAAAATACAGCTATATAAGCAAATTTATCAAATGAGATTTAAAGACTTTTGATCAAAAGAATTTTCTTTTTAAACTAAAAGGAATAACTCAGTAGAGTTATTCAATATTGTATATAATCTTGAGATGTTACAACATTATTTAACATAAATTGTACTAAGTACATAGTAGATGTAAACTAGGAAATAAAATCTGTTATCCGAGTTTTGATGAAATTTTAGGGTATATTAAAGATTAAAGATAAAAATAAGATCACTTTAAACTGAAGATTAAAGATAAAATTCTTATGAACTGGAGATTAAAGATCAAATTACTATGAACTAAAAATTGCAGATCAAAATACTATGATCTAAAGATCAAAGATTAACTCACTTCAAACTGAAGATTAAAGATAGAACTCTTATAATCTGGAGGTTAAGGATAAAAATCACTTTAAGCTGAAGATTAAAGATTAGGTTGATATGTGCTGAAGAATAAAGATCAAATTATAAGACGCACCTAAAGTTAAAATTACTACCGTGAACTAACCAGGACAAAGTTAAAATATCAAAATGAACTGAAGATTTTTAAAACCTTATATTGTGGTCTAAGGAAGGCTTCAGCGTGAGGTTCATGTTCTATCCTCTCTTCTTCTCCGTCATCCCCCTCTTCCATCCTGTGAACTTCTTCCTTCTTCTCCATCTTCTCCGCAGGTTCAGGAGATAAAGTTTCACCAGGCTTCTTCTTTCTCTTCTCTCCTTCCTTTTTTTCTGGTTCCTTTGTTTCATCGGCAAATAGTCCTCTGATCCTTAGATCCTAGATTAGCAGATCATGATACAAGTTCATTCTTTCCTTACGCAGTTACGTCCCATCACAGTTTCGTCCTTACACAGTTCCGTCCTTACACAGTTTCGTCCTTACACAGTTTCGTCCTTACACAGTTTCGTCCTTACACAGTTTCGTCCTTACACAGTTTCGTCCTTACACAGTTTCGTCCTTACATAGTTTCGTCCTTACAAGTTTCGTCCTTACATAGTTTCGTCCTTACATAGTTTCGTCCTCACATAGTTTCGTCCTTGCACAGTTTCGTTCTAACATAATTTCATCCTTCTAAGTAAATCATGTACATCTAATTATTAACTAATAATAATTTACAAGTAATCATGTACTCCTAGTTCTACCTGGGCACAATGTAGGAATGAATCCAGGCTGGACTTCTCAACCTTTGCTTCTCCCTCGTACATAAAATCCATTATGTACCGTAGATCAGGTACCTCAACTCCTGTACATAAACATTTAGACTTCAAAGTCACTGTATGCAGGTTAACCCACATAATACGGGATTTAACAATGTGTAGAAAACTTGTTAATTGGGATTTTGAAGAAGTTTCATAAATTTAAAGCAATAAATTACTTTTAAATTCGAATATGTATATAATAAATACAGACAGTTTTAGAATTTACTTTTACTTTATATATTAATTTTCAAGTCAAACAAAAAAGTGGTTCATAATAATCATATATCCATAGATTAAATCAATATGAAAATAAAAGAGATAGAAGCATTGAAATATTAATAAGAAAGCATTGAACGTAATTTTTCTGAATTACCACTGAAATTTTAAAGGAACTGGACTATTATCTTCAAATCCTTATATCTTTACATCCTGATGGTTTAACCCCTTGATAACCCAAACTCAGGTTGAAATGTAAAGAAAACTAGAATTTGTGTCTATTGTTAAAATTTTTTTTTTCTCTATAAAAAGGTGTTTACGTAAATCTTATTAGTTCTGTCATACATGTACCGTTAGCTTCTTCATTTTGTACTAAATGTTAAATTTTTATGTACTAAATGTTTGTTTAAATACCTCTAAGGTATACATATGTGTAGGGCAGAGAATTGTCTTTAAACAAAGCCTTAAAGAAATCACTGCAGGCGCTCAGAACAACCTTAACAGAAAAAGTATTTATAAAAACTTCAAATTTTTTTGATATTTAAGTTAAGAGAATTTTTCTACCTTATGTGCCTGGAATTTAATATCTCGGACTGTTAATGTCACATCAAACAGAAACTGTTACAAAATCAAATTTATAAGTTATATGATTTACAGCAAGTAATAAAATCAACATGTCTATAACAGATCGGAAATCCTTTGTGAAAAAGTAAGTTTAGATAAAAAAATAAGCAAAAAATAAGACTACTTTTGAAATAAATTTTTTGTTTAAGAAATAAGAAATCAGAAATTATAAATTAAGAAATATTCATGGTGGCCGTGTTTGCATCAAAATGAAATTAAAATTTGATTTAAAAAAGTTAATTTTGATTTCCTGTTCTTTTCTTAGTTGCTTAAAGGCAGTGCTTAAACTTCTCTCCGCCTAAATGCGATAAAAAATAAATATTTAAATAAATAAAAATTTTAAAAATAATTTTGTAAAATACCTCTTCATATTTTACGCAGAACAATTCAGGCAACTCGATTTCCATTTTTCTGAAAAATTTATTTTTTTATCGGAATTCCTTTTCCCGGTTTTATCTTCTCCGTCTCAAAGAGCTGTTGAATCTTCTTCTCTCTCCGCATCTTCCTTTCTTCTTTCTTCCGTCTCTTCTCCTCCTTCTCCGCCTGTTTCTGTTTCTTAAACTCCTCTAGCGAGGTGTCGTAGACCCTGGGGGCATCGAAGTTGATGAAGAGGGTTGCATCGAACCCGTCCTGTCTGGAGAACATCTGGTTCAGGATAGGGAAGGGGAGAACCTTGTCCTGGTTTTAAATATACATCCTTCAATACTAATTTCAAACTTCAAGGAATGATGCAGGGATTAAACTTTTTCATAAAAACAACTGTATTCAAAGGATTTACAAGTTATCAGATTTGGGAATTACAACAAGGCCGGGCTCCTAATAGCTTTTCGAAAATCGTAAGTGTTCAAGTTTCATCAAATTAAAAAAAATTGAAAAATTCTTATATTATACATATGTAGAATTCAGAAAGAAAGAGAAGAATGTATATACCTGAATAATATTCTCATGGCAAGCTAGGTCGAATGCCTCTTCTTCAGTTAAACTATCAAACTTCCACTTAGCAACTGGGATAGTTACCATATCCTTCTTATTACCAACTATCTAGTTAAATTTTAAATTAATCGATTTTTCCGAAAGGAGAAAAAATAGTTTTTTTTTTGATGGAAGGAAAGATAGTCCACGGTGGACTAAGCCAGTGGGGTCGGTCAAATAGGCCTAGGATTAGGCCGGGTACTGTAAAAAGTCTGAACGCGCCATTAGAGTTGTCATAGTTAGCCCTCCGACGGGACTATGCCAAGAAAATTGACCCCTGTCGTATGTCAGTCTGGTTAGGGCGACGTACTGTACTAAAGGATCGGGCCAGTACACGCTGTTATCTGGCAGGCCGGTACAAACTGGGCAGGTCCTGTTCGAATTCAAATTTACTACGACCCAGAGTGAGTTCCATACCACGAAATCAAAGGAGTAATTACCTTGAGAGGAAGGTTGAAGGATGGGTCCAGTTCCGGCCAAGTTTGTTCTAGAACATTCTTATCCCAGTCAAACTCCTGTAATCATATAATCAGTTGAGAAGCAGGATAGTTACTACATAACTACACTACAAGGGTTCCAGAAAGTGGTATATCAATTTATTAAATCCAATCATTGAGATCAGGCCTAGAAATATTGGACCTGTGTCCTGGAATACCTGGAAATATTTGACCTGAGTCCTGATTTACCTGGAAAATATTGACCTAGAACCTTGTTTTTCTGGAAATTTTTGATCTTGAACCTTGTTTACCTAGAAAATTTTGATCTTGAACCTTTTATACCTTGAAATGTTTGACTTTTAACATTGTTCACTTGGAAATGTTTGACTTTGAACATTGTTTACCTGGACATGTTTGACCTTGAACCTTGATTATGTGGAAATGTTTGACCTTAAACCTTGATTACCTAGAAATGTTTGACCTTGAACCTTGTTTCTCTGGAAATATTGACCTTGAACCTTGTTAACCTGAAATTGAAAATGTTTGACCTTGAACCTTGTTTACTTAGAAATGTTTAGTCTTGAACCTTGTTTACAATGTGTGACCTTGAACCATGTTATACTTTGAACCTTGTTTACATGGAAATGTTTGACCTTGAACCATGTTTTACTTTGAACCTCATTTACCTGGAAATCTTTGACCTTGAACCATGTTTTACTTTGAACCTCATTTACCTGGAAATGTTTGACCTTGAACCATGTTTTACTTTGAACCTCATTTACCTGGAAATGTTTGACCGGCACAGTTCTGAATCCAGCCCATAGTTCTGAAGCAAAATGAGGAGCTATCGGAGCAATTATAATGATTATATCTCCCAACATCTGCTGGAACTCTGGGGTATCCCTCTTCACCTTAATAATTAACTTTAACGTGAAGAGTCAAAAAATGAAGATTTTCTAAGAAAAAAGTAATACAATAGAAGTTTTCTATGAAGTGCAATGCTGAAATGATCTGACCAGCTTTTCAGCTTCAGCAGGTTAAACTTTGTTTAACTCCTTCTTTAATCAGTTTCTAAGCTTTACTAAGTGTCGAAACCTTAATAGGAAAGAAATCACCACTTTTAAATTATTTAAACTTTTTTTCCAGAACNCAAAGGTTACCTGTCCTGGGGTTGTCCAAATAGTTGACAGCATGGTGTTCACTCTTGCTAACACAACAGCTAAAAAATTACAAATACATTGTTTAAAATAACAATTTTAACTAATAAATAGAGTTCGGATAATCTAGCAAATAACGCAAACGGATAGAAAAGTAACAATGCCTGATTAAAATTTAAGCCAACGTTAAGTGGTTCAAATTAGTCTTAACTAGTCCAACCACCTTTCGCTATTCATAAAATTTAGCCTCTGATTGGATGGACACTTAAAGAGTGAATTACCTATATTTCTGGTGAATTGAAAGTTATGATTAATATCTCTAAGCATATTATTTCTTGAATCTCTAATCTTCTTCCTGTAATCATTCATCTCTTCATCATATCGTAGTTCAGGCAGTTCATCCTTCTGGAGCTCTATCGCCTAAAGGAGATTTAAAAGGGTTACCCACACTGTTCGAAATGTATAATGTCTGTTTTCTCATATTCATGATTCCCCGCAACTGTAAAGTTGTGTCTTTCTTTGCCAAAAAAATAATCAGCTATTTCAAGACTTAATCCAGTCGGAAGACTTGGGATTGTTTTACCTTTCAAGTTTCAAGTCGTCTTTGTAGTCTTCACCTTTGTATTTAACCCAGAAGGTAAACGTGTATACTGGCAGGGTCCAGGGGCGTATTCAGGAATTATATCAAGGGGTGGTAAAGAGAATACATTTTTTTTCTTTCAAGGGGGGCTAAGCTACCACTGGGGCGTAAAAAAAACCCTGAAAATTCACTGACCCAGAGTAGGGGCTGAGCGCCAATACCCCCCGCCCCCTGTAGACGCCTCTGGAAAGGGTTGTACTTAACAGTGGTCTTAAGATTTAGTTGTGCCATAGACAACGTTGGCTTTCAAACATTTATCAAAGACGAAAGATAGTTAAAATAACTTCGCCTTTCTTCATAAAACCTAAAAATCTCAGATTTTCAGTTTTTCTAAAATATTTGAAATATGAAACGACCGAGTGTTAAGCCATCTGAATAAAAAAGTAAAAATTGTAAACCGTGGGCAATTTCTTCAGAAAAAATGAGATTAAAGTTTATTTTCATTAGCATTGAAGATATTTTAACAATTAAAAAATCAAGTGAATAAAAAACAAATCAGACCTGAGAAACCAACTTCCAAAGTTTAATCTGCATATTCCGAATCCCGGGATAATCCTTTTCCGACCAGTTCCTTTCCGTAGCAGGTCCAACATTTGTTAACATCATTAACCTAACATAGGAATGAATCGGAAAGTGTTGTAAATAGATTTACCTAGTTGAACTTCTTTTCTAGTGCTTCCAGGATCGATTATTCATTTAATTCCATCTCAAAGCAAGTGCATGAAAAAAATGAACTTAAAAGAAGTGGCAATAATGTTTGCGAATTTAAGATGGATCCTGAATCCGTCCAGTGAGAAAAAAATAAAGATGAAAATCCGGCAATAAATTGGCATTAAAAAAAAATTAAGTTAAAATGATGGACTTTTTGCTTAAATTCAATTTAAGAAAAAAATAATGAAATCTTGAAAGATTGCTAATAAGAGACTTTTTCAGAAAAAAAACCCGACAAAATCGTGAAAGACAATGAATGAAAACAAACCTGACAGTATCACAACCATACTTGTGAACCAGGTCAGTTGGATCTACTCCGTTGTGTTTAGATTTGGACATCTTCTCCCATTCAACAACAACAGGTAGACTCCCATTCTGAGATATATCAGGAAATGAGCATTTAAAGGGACTGTAAACTTAGTTTCAAGTGAACCTCCATGCATACAAAGATGGCAATGCCCGATCGAAAACGGCACCCTTGAAAGATTTGTCTGATCAAATATGAATTCATTTTCATTTGTGGTTTCTCTGCGAAAGTGAATTGCGCATTTCTTGTTATAATATAAGTAATGGAGACACTCACAGAAATTAACTTTTTTTTCGAGTCAGAAAAACGACAATGCAAGTCTTCCCAATTTTTGATCAGATTAAGGTTTCAGGGGTACCGTTGTAAATCGGGTATTGTCATCAAGGGCGGATACANTACAGGGATACACATACGATTTATCAAATTGGAAACATATTTTGCCTCGAAATTTCAGGGGGGTGCGAAGGTCCTGCCGCCCACCCTGTATCCGCCCCTGAGTGTCATCTTTACATTGACGCCCCTCGGAAATTACGTTTACAGTCTCTTTAAAATACGCCACTAAAGCTTATAAAGAATTAAAACCGAAGTGAAAAACAATAGCGTTGCAGAAAGAAATAAAAAAATGACTGGTTGGTTCTAGAATATATGAAAACTGACAATAATACTGCGGCAGCAGATGACAAATATCGTACTGCAAAACGTGTACTGCAATGATCATAAAAAGTTAGTATAAAAAGTGTACTGCATATAAACAACATTTCTCCTTGAACACAACAATTTACTTATGCACAGTACACTACAAACTTTAGAGTAAACAAAGCTTTGAACTGGTTTGTTGAAATCAATGATTCTTTATAATAATGCCATAATACAACTTTTTTGTAAGAGTAAGTCATCAAAAAATAAAAAATAATTTCTTTTTGGTAATTTATCATATTTTCTTTGAATTTATTCGCAATTTCTTCAACTTCTTAAAATGTCGTCTTTTCAATAATATTCCTGAAAATCTGCAGAAAATCTTTGTGAATAGCGATAAAATAGGGGTTCCCCAGTACCTAGAAATGAATAAACAATTACAAATTATAATAATATGACGTTATTGTTTATATATTATCTTATAGTACACAGGGTGTCCCAAAAACATGACAATAGCAAGACTAAATTAAGGTCGTCTTTGATCAATTTGTGGCATTTATTCGTAAATAAAAGAAAACTCTAAAGTTAATGATCACAAAATGCCAATTGTCTAAAATCTGTTCTGTCTTTTTTGCTTTCATTATTAACGGAGATATGAAGAATTTCGTTCAGATTTCGACAATTTTGGTTTTATTTTAAAAAAATTTAAATTCTTAGTGTCTCCGGTAATATTGAAACAACAAAAAAGGCTGACCAAATTTTGGAAATACCAGGGCTAGGTTATTGTTTCAAGAATCTTGCATGTGAAGTAGGTTGACGACTGAATGTCACAAATAAATTATAAGTTTAAAAACAACTTGTGGCGGCTATGAAAGTCGTCTTTCCTTGAAGAACTTCTCGCGGCAAGGAGAAGAATAGGGGAGTTTCTAGAAGCCACGAGATATATATATATTTATTTCTTGGTCTCCACTCATGAACTCTGCTTTCAACAGAGCCAAACTACTCCTCTCAGCTGTTCCAGAACTAGTTCACCCTCAACCCAACGCAGCAATTTCTCTGTCTGTGGATGCTTCAGATACTCACATTGGAGCTGTTCTCGAACAACAACTTCGCGACGAATCCTGGGCTGCGCTGGCTTTCTTCTCTAAGAGTCGTTATCTAAATCCTCGTCTTATTGCTATCCGCCAAAAACTTTCAAGTCGTCTTTCTACTGTCATGTTTCGTGGGTTAACCCTGTACTACATTATTTCTATCTATCTTGTAAATCATGTACGGTGTACATATACACATGGAATAGGATGAGTGAGAGAAGACAAGTGCTCAAATTAATTCTGAGCCCATTGTCAAAAAATTACCTTAGTAAAATATTTTCCATCTTGTTCAGTCACCTCGTCAGGGCGCAAATATTTTGTGGTACTCTAAAAAGCGCAGTTATAAAATAATCTTTTCACGTCGATCTGAATTTACAGTACACCGTCACCATCACAAAGAGTGGCCCAACTACTTTTTTAATTCAAGTCAGCCAGTCTTGCAAAATAAGTGAAACATCACATCACAAAGATTAGACGAAAAATGTAGGACTATATCTCATAAAAAATTGGACAATGTTTAATGAAAAAGTAGGACAATGTCACATTAAAAAGTAGGACAATGTTTCGTGAAAAAGTAGGACAATGTTTCATAAAAAGTATGACAATGTTTCATGAAAAAGTAGGACAATGTTTCATGAAAAATATGACAATGTTTCATGAAAAAGTAGGACAATGTTTCATAAAAAGTATGACAATGTTTCATGAAAAAGTAGGAAAATGTTTCATGAAAAAGTAAAACTAAAAATACTAATGCTACTACAGCTACAAACCTTGATTCTGTAGCTCTGTCCTTTAACCATACCCTGAGTAATTAGGTTGGAAAACGGTTCCTGTACTCCGAGTAGATTAATGCTGTGAAGGAAATGAGAGATAAATCTGGCAAAGTAAAGATGAAGATAAGCATGCTCTTTTCCGCCTGGATATAAAAAATTGGTAAAATCTTGGACNTTACAAAACAGGAATATCAACGACTTTCTACCCATCATACACAGCCTAAACCTGGACTAGCGTATGCAGTGTGTAAATCTAAAAAATTAAGATTTTTGACCTCCCGACCAACTATTCATCATATGGATATACTTTAAAATGACTTTTGTAAAAAAAATGTATTGCTTTGATTATACAAATTACGTTGTTTATGTGCTCACCTATGTACAGATCTACTGGCATATTCTGTGCTGCAGAGGGGGAGAAGGGTTCAGTATTATTTCTTGGATCCAAATATCTAAAAAAATTTTATTTAACTTTTTCAGAAACCCAAGAGATGATAAGACCTCCCAAGATAAGAACTGCATTTATGCCAAAGGAACATATTCTTTCTATTGTTATTTAAATGGACCATCATTTTAGAAAAAACAAATTTAAAGAATTTCAATTACGATTCACACTAAGGGTACCCTTTAACGCTCTATCAGTAACAATGAGGAAGTTTTCTTCCTCTTTGAACTTGTTGATTCCTTTTTTATGTCTTAGTAGCAAAAATTCACGCAAGAAAAACCACAATAAATGTTTTGTCTAAAGGGTACCGATGTGAATGGAGGTTTAACTAAGTTTTCCCAAAAGAAAATGACAAGAACTTCGCTTTCTTTCCTACCTTAAATAGTACCAGGATGAATCTACGAATGTATCCATGGTATCAGTTTCACGCCTCCCCTCGCCCCCGCACTTAGGGCAGGGGACATATAGCCAGTCATCTGCACTTAATAGCGGAGATACACCCTATAAAAAAGTTTTTATAGTAAAACAGGAAAAGTTTAACTATTCTATTATAAAATTTACAAGATTGGCTAAATTTTTCAAAAGATTTGGCAGCTGTCAAAAGTGGTCAAATTTTTAACCCATTTTGCAGATGAAATAATTTCATCACTTTACCTTTGATGACAACCCATCCAGGTCTGGTAGCTGTACAGGCAGGTCAGCTTCAGGTACAGGTACAGGTCCACATGCAGTACAGTGAATAATTGGAATAGGGGTTCCCCAGTACCTAGAAATGAATAAACAATTACAAATTATAATAATATGAAATTTACGCAAATATAAAGCTGATCTGAACCACAAAAAAGTAATGTACAAGACATCTTTATCCAGTGCTTTGGATCCGCAAGATTTTGCCTTCTTCAAAGGGGCAAACCGCAAATTATTAACCAAATTATTAACCAAAAACTGCAAAAAAAAACTTTTTACTCTCAAAACCCAAATCTTAACTGTTGAAAAAAGAGAGATTATAAAACTTCCCTGATCTCTGAATGGTTCATCAAGTTTTAGCATAAAAGTAATCGAAAAAAAGAAAGATAATTAGACAATTCTGCTTTGTTAAAAAAGTTCAGTAAATCTTAAAGAAATGTTTATGCCCTGTATCCGGATTCATAAATTACAACATTCTAAGCACTGCAGTATAAACACATTCAGGTCCGTAAGGATCTGCTAATTTTAGATCAAGCTTTAATTAAATCCCAAAGCTGCAAATTTTCAAATCAGCTTTTTTCAATTTTTAAATATATACAGAAATTTACAGGTCTACAAAATTTTGATTTCTCAAATGCTTTTTACTTCAATCAAGTAATCATGTTACAATAGTTTCAACTTTGCTAAAAGCTAAAATAAGGCTCTTTTAATATGTATTTAGATTTCTTGTGGATGAGGTAAGCTGTGAATAAGAATTATAATTCAAGGAACTGATTTCTCTCCTCAAAGTATAATATTCTTATCCTGACAGCCACATCTTTGCAACCCAATATGTAAACTTGTGATATTATAAACATAGCAAGTGGAGGAGCACAGCCCTGTTTTCCTTGTATTTCAACCTACAGGTCGTACTTTGTCTGTAGGTTGATTGTTAATAATAATTATGATAATAATTAAAGTCTTTTTGATATAGCAAAATTTAAGGTTTAAAAAAAGTCTACGACATAAAGTTGCAAAGATATAAGGATTATAATATTTGGAGTGTTAATAGAGTAATCACTTAGCAAAAATTTCCTTTGGAGGAATTTTTAAAACCATGCCTTTATTCAAAAGTTAAAATCATTGATTTATATATTTAAATATTTGGTATATTTTTAGCTAACTTTGGCATTTCAATAAAATATAACTACAAGAACGGACACAATATCAGATGTTTGCAATTTGCTTGCATTCCCCAGTCCAAAATAGATAAAGCGAATACAACAAAAATTGACAAAATACTTGTGTACGACATGGAATGGGGGCAGTGCCCGTTAAGATTGAAAAAAAATTTCTTAAAAATATATCCCGAAAAATCCCAACATTTTTGGTGCTATACATAAAATAGACAAAATATGTATAATAATCGAAAACATTAAAAAATGTATTTAAAAGTAAAATAATGAGTGACATGATATTATTGTTACTGTTACCTAGTCTCCTCAACATCTCTGTATGATCTAATAATTTAGTCTGATGCGACACATTAGATTTCTTTAATCCAGATACGATAGATATTACGACGTTCTGTACGATGACCGCACACCCCCTCCCCCCCACCNCTTAACCTTGTCTGATTTAATTAAACCTATCAAGATCATGATAAGGATTATAATATATGTAAAAAAAATAAGTAGACAAAATTTAAAAAACAAACTCTTACAAATTTTTGTGTACCTTTCAATAACCATCTTAATCTGCTGATTAACCAATCCTGGAGCAATATATTCTCCAATATTTACCTTTGTCTACTGATTAACCAATCCTGGAGGTTAGAACTGACCGGATATCCTCCAATCTTCATTCTCTTAGCTATCTTCATAACTTCCTCTTTAGCCTCAGCTAATTTCAAACCTGGAAAACAATATCTAGAAGTAGCTTTAGAAGTAAAGGGACTGATAACGTAATTTTAAATAGCCCTCTATTTCCAGAGTGACACGTCCGATTCACAACGGTATGCCCTGTAATACTTTCATGGACAAAGGATGAATGAGACATCTTTAATTTTAAAACTGAAAATTGATTATTTTCATTTGCGATTCATTTTTTGACGGACTAGCGGATTTATACTGCAGAAAAAAACTGAAAGAAATTAACCAAATTAAACGCCACTTTAGAAAGAATCTTACTTACTGTTACTAACTAAATAAATTAAGTTTAAAGGGTTGCAAATTGGACAATGACATAACACTTAAAGGGAGTGACCGGCTATGTAAGGTAGTCGAACTGAGTATGCACTGCAGTGTTGTGGAAAACTTCTTTCGGATTCATTTGAGACATATTGAACTTTTTAAAGATCTTTAAATCCCGAGTTTGAGCGCAAATTCGACGTTCAAAACTCCTTCTTTGGGGGTGGGTACGTTTTCAGAATTAGTTTCTTTATAATTATTAAATAACGACGACGAAAAAAATAGTAAAAATTATACAGTAATCTAATTAGATGGTTAGGAACATATTTCTCAAAAGAAATTTGTCAAGAAATCAATGCTAGAATCAATTATTTCGTTTTCATCGTTATATTGACTTTCTTATTTTCTTTGAATTTATTCGCAATTTCTTCAACTTCTTAAAATGTCGTCTTTTCAATAATATTCCTGAAAATCTGCAGAAAATCTTTGTGAATAGTGAGAAAATAGACACTAATAATTGAACAAGATTACTTATTTTCAATAATAAGAGTAATTATTTTCTGAACCTGTTCCTAAACAACTAATTAGTTTACTGTGGATTTTTTTTACATTAATGTCGTCGTTATTAATAATTAAAAAAACTAATTCTGAAAACGTATCCAAACCCAAAGTTTTGAACGTCGAATTTGCGCTGAAATTCAGGATTTACAGATCTTTTTTAAAAATGAATCCGAAAGAAGTTTTCCACAACACTGCATACTCAGTTCAACTACATTACATAGCCGGTCACTCCCTTTAATCAGAATTTGGAGGGTCACTTCAAGTTATGTAAAATATAAAATATCAAAACTGAACTCGGATGGTTTGGTGCAAAAAAAGTTCAGTTTTTAGACTAGGAGAAGGAATCCAAATCTTCATCGAAAATTATCTTTTAAATACCTGTAAGTTGACCGGAGTTAATTAAAACAGTGTCATCTCCTGACCCACTTAAAATATTCAGGTCACAACTGAAATAATTAATACTTCAACTCTTTTTAGAATTTAATATATATAATAAGAGATTACGTGAGATGAAATTTGCAAGGAGCCCCATTTTGGGCAACCCAATGTATATTGTTTATATCTAATATATATTATTTGTTTTAAATATTGACCTGAATGCTGTTAAGCTAAAGTTCTGTATTCAATTAATTTTTGGTCTATTTATTCAGAACTGTGTTTCTGTCTTTTTCTGATAGGCTTATGTTTAGTTCTGTTCTTTACATAAATAAATAAACCTTAACCTTCAGTCCGTACATTCCGTAATCATACAGTGAGAGCCAGAAAACTATGGAATAGAAAGACGACAATAAAACAATACTTTAAGTGTATTTCATGTTATTGCATGGCAAATAGATTAACTAGTAAGTAGTAAGTAATTAAATCCCTTATTAAGGGAAATTGATCTGTTAACACTGCACACTACCAAATCTCATGTTTATTTCATTATTTAAATCATAACTTGAGTCTAAAAGTCGGCTTCCTGTCCCAGAGTTTTCTGGTTCTCACTGTACACTTTATTTTTTCAACATTTTATTTTCATCTTAGATTACAATGGAAGGTCGATTTTGTAGCTAACTTGATCAGTTTTGTAAAATTTTCATCTTAGGTTAAAGTGGAAGGTCGATTTTGTAGCTAACTTGATCAGTTTTGTAACGTTTTCTTCTTAGGTGTATTCTAACGATTTGAAGCAAAAAAAAATCAACAGCTTACACTTGCCTTTATTGGTTTTAGATCTCATGTGACACCTTATAGGTAGAAAAATCACTAATTCCTTTTACTTTATTTATTGTTTTTTGTTCAAACGGAGAATTATAACGCGTAATAGTTGGAACAAAGACGGAATTCGACAATAATATTATCACCACTCACTGTTGCTAGTTACCCATATGGGCCGTAGAATAATCGTAATTTGCTGGTTTTCAACGCAATTTGATTCCAAGAAATCTGTAAATATTTGATGAACACATCTGAAAATGTGAAAAACGTTAAAGCAATAAATTCATTTTTATTAAGTACGATGGTAACTTAAAAACATGGAATAGTTGTCTATTATTTCTTTCTTTTTTCCTTTATGTCGTTAAGTTCCTAGAAATGCTATTTTGTATACTTACAAAATCATTAAAACATTACTAGTAAAAAGAAGGAACAAGGACGGAAATAATTCCACAGTTTTCTAGTTACTACTGTAGATAATAGAGAAATTGCAGTAAATCCTTATATTCAAAATAGGTTTCTTACTTAATGTTATTTATCTCCGCAAGATGTCTCTGTTCTTCGCGTACACAAGGGACCCCAAGAACCGTCTGGGACCCATATTTGTACTCTAGCTCTGTACTGCAAACTACGGGGATTTTCTCTCCAGAAAACGGGTTTATTGCTACCAATCTAAACAGATTATAAACAGTAAAGCGATGAAGGTAAAAGAAGGAGGGAGGCAAACGTTTGCGTCAAATTTGTTGAAAACTCCAACCAAACTTTCACAAAAAAACATTTTATTTTTTGAAGAATTTGAATTAAAAAAACATTTAAAATCTATGAATGGTAACAGTATATTTTAAAAATTAATCATTTGCGCAGTAAGGTAAATCTCGTGACAACTTTTCATTTTCGATTTCGAATTTATTAATAGAATTTATTTGCATATGTACAGCATACATTTACGGATTTCGAGACTGTCTCATTCTACATCTAATATTTGATTTATAGCTAATACAAATATAAAAATACAGAACAAGAAGATGAAAAATAACAAAATTACTTTAAGCCTTCCTGGATACTATGTATTGAGAATACTCCTGTATTCTACCTCTATCCTGGATACAATGTATTGAGTATACTCCTGTATTCTACCTGTATAATGTACTGAGTATACTCCTGTATTCTACCTGTATTCTGGATACAATGTAAAAGTAAACTCCTTTATTCTACCTGTATAATATACTGAGTATACTCCTGTATTCTACCTGTATAATGTACTGAGTATACTCCTGTATTCTACCTGTATAATGTATTGAGTATACTCCTGTATTCTACCTGTATAATGTATTAAGTAAACTCCTGTATTCTACCTGTATTCTGGATACAATGTATTGAGTATACTCATGTATTCTATCTGTATCCGGGATACTGTATACTCCCGTATTCTACATGTACCTTGGATACTGTGTATTAAATATACGCCTGTATCCTGGATACTATGTATTAAATATGCTCCTGTATTCTACCTGTATCCTAACTGTATACTGTATATTAAGTATACTCCTGTATTTTAACTGTATCCTGGATACTGTATATTAAGTAAACGCCTGTATTTTACCTGTATCCAGGATACTGTGTATTAAATATACTCCTGTATTATACCTGTATCCTAGATACAATGTATTGAGTATACTTCTGTATTCTAACTGTAGCTGTATTCTGAATACTATGTATTGAGCATACTCCTGTTAGAACTATTAGAAATGAAATCTGAAAAAGAGGTCCCGCTATGAACTCCTGTATTTTACCTGTATCCTGGATACTATGTATTGAGTATACTCCTGTATCCTACCTGTATCCTGAATACTGTGTGTTAAGTATACTCCTGTATTCTACCTGTATCCTGGATACAATGCATTAAATATACTCCTGTATTCTAACTGTATCCTGGATACTGTATATTAAGTAAACTCCTGTATTCTACCTGTATCCTGGATACTGTGTATTAATAATATGGTCTGGATGAACTGCTATGAACTGAGTTCCGTAAATGTACTCCGGAGTATCCGTCCAAACCGTCAAAACATCGTTTATATCTCCACTAGCAGACTCTAAGATTAAAATATATTGTTTTCTTTTCATATTTCAAAAACCTATAAATAATATATTTAATAAAAGATTCTTATCTCTTTTAAAGATAGCTTATTCGAAGAAAGGCGAGTAAATAAATGATGCTGTAGATAAAGAAACTTAGTTCTTGCCAGAATTTTGTCAACATTTTTAATTACAATATTCATATTTTTAACTTTTTAAGAAATTTTTTCTCTGAATTTCCGAAAGGTGAACAAGAAATTTTTAAATTTTGTTTGACTTACCTAGTTTAAAATCTATTCTTGTACCGCTACACTCTCCGATCCAATTCCTCTGTGCTTTCACAATATCTCTCCAGTTTACTAAACTTGGATTATCCAACCCTACCAAATATAAATATTGTTTTTACAGGGGGATAATCCAGTTTACTAAACTTGGATCATCCAACCCTAATATAAATATTGTTTTTACAGGGGGATAATCCAGTTTACTAAACTTGGATTATCCAACCCTCCCTAATATAAATATTGTTTTTACAGGGGGATAATCCAGTTTACTAAACTTGGATTATCCAACCCTACCAAATATAAATATTGTTTTTACAGGGGGATAGTCCAGTTTACTAAACATGGATCATCCAACCCTACCAAATATAAATATTGTTTTTACAAGGGGATAATCCAGTTTACTAAACTTGGATCATCCAACCCTACCAAATATAAATATTGTTTTTACAGGGGGATAATCCAGTTTACTATACTTGGATCATCCAATCCTACCAAATATAAATATAAATAAATATAAACAATGAGGATCAGGATTGGAACCACACTCAGCAGACAAATCAAAATGGAATCAGGAGTTCCCAAAGGGTCTGCACTGGCACCAGAAATGTGGAACTACAATACTGGAGACATCCCTACTACTATCAGTGCACATAGTAAAACTGCAATGTACGCAGATGATACCTCCACAGCTAGCTCACATAGAGACATTGAAACTCTCATTGATATTGCACAGAAGGAAGTATAGCAATTGTCCAACTGAACCAAAAATAAGAGAATCAAATTTTCCCCAGCTAAAACTTAACGTTTTAGCCATACACAAAAATCCAAAAATCAGAAGGGAAATCAAACAAACCTCTATATACTTAAACATGGGGGGGGGGGGGGGGTGGCAAAGATTAACTTAAATAACAAATCATGCAAAACTCCTCCATGTCACATTCTCGGAAACAGGCACCATCCACAAACACATTTCAAACAAGTTAAAAACATGCTATGCTAGTACCAAACAACTATACAGATTCTCTAAAGTTGTCAAGGGAGACGTTCTATACAAGGTCTACAGAACATGTATTGAACCTATCATTATCTATGAGTCAGAAGTACTCTAACAGGGAGACTACTAAGAAGAAGGGACAACTTTGTGGAGAATAATAGAAATTCCCTACTAATTAAACATTCTGAAACCCTCAAATACTCAGAATGAAGAATCCGCACAAGAACAGTCCACAGAGACAGATCACTACAGAAACAGGGATGGAAATCTAATCTGCACTTACACTGAGATCACTTCTTATACTCCAATACCAGAATTGAAACAACAGATGACAACGGAAACATCAACACCACTCAACGAGACATTGCCTTCCAAGAAGGACACTGCAAAATCTCCAACCAGGTTTCCAAACCAGGAGATACAACATGTGAGGTTCAAATGCAGACCTGAAAAAGGACACTGGCCTCCTTCAACCTCATTATACAAGAAGATATATCATCGGAGTCCACATCATCACTGAAGATAATAGAGGATGCTTTTTACTCTCCAACTGGTTTTGGAGAGACAAACACAAGGGATCATCATACTAATCTGTAGATCTCATCAAGAGATTCAACCCTTCTTATCTGTAAATCTCATCAAGAGATTCCACCATACTCATCTGTAGATCTCATCAGGCGATTTTACCATACTTGTCTGTAGATCTTATCAAGAGATTCCACAATATTTATCTGAAGATCTAATCAAGGGATTCATATCCTGTATCTTCCAGAACTGGACTAATTGCTCCTGGATACAGCGGAGAACTAGGGCATTCAAGATATCAGATGCTGCCTAAACCTGATACTAGAGACGCTGATCTTTTACAAACAGCTCCTTATATCTTTAGCAGCTAGGGATAGCTCTGGGAGCAGCTCGAACCCAAAGTGAGGCTAACATAGCAGAGACTCTAGGGATAGCTTTGGGAGCAGCTCGAACTGTCAGCACAGCTAACATAGCAGAGACTCTCTAGGAGCAGCTCCGGTAATGCACAGCTAACATAGCAGAGAATCTAGAAGCAGCTCCAGTTATGAACAGCTATTAGAGCAGAGACTCTAGGAGCAGCTACAGTAATAAAGGAAGCAGCTAAGATTGCTGTGTAAGAGATACTGAACTGGAGCAACTAAACAAGATAATGAGCTGAGGAAGCTGCCTAGATAGATACTGAACTGGAGCAGCTAAACAAGATATTGAGTTGGACCACCACTCAAGAACCTTATAGGCGAACTGAAATCTAACGTACTGCAACAAGCAGAAGTGGGGGCCTCTACAAAGACATAGGAAACTGATTCAACAAGAATAAACAGAAACAGATGTATTTAGATCAATAAACTGACAAGATGATAAATCATTCAGAAAACATTCATTCATACTCTGCGAGATAAATGTAAGCATATAGAGAGAGAAAATTAATGGGATTTATGAAATGAAATACCGGGACCAAGAGGAAGACATTTTTAGACAATTTTTGTATTACACTCAAGCTTTTTGTATATTGTATATGTTCGCAATTACCCTGTACTGGTTCAATCCACACAAAATGCAATTTAACCCATTTCTGCTTGTTTCTACTTGTATCTTTTGGTCAGATTCTCAATATGTTTGTAATTTAGTACATATCCCAATATATATAGGTATGGCGGATGTGCAGTTACAAACTGATAAATATTAGATTTATTTCCATATATCATTTATTTATATCAAATGTTATTTAATCAATTCAGTTATCAAAATATTTGGTGAGGTAAATAAGCACTGTAGTATTTATTTATAGTGTGTATCCGAACCTTGCAAAGGAAGGGTGTCAGCAGAGCTTTCTAAGCCTGTTGAGAGAAAGGGCGCTATGTGCGTTGTACTTGTATAGAAGTCTAGATATCAAGGTCACTTCTCTCCACAACTGAGTGGAAAGCGTGACTAATCCCGAAAAAGATATAGTAATAAAGATGAATACAGAAGGAATACAGAAACTCAAAACTTCAGGGATGAAATACACGCTGATACAGGTTTTAAGGGGGAACAGAGCCTTCAATAGACTTTAAATCAAATACCATAAACTGGTTTTTCACTCTCCTCACAATGGAAACTGGATTACTCATGGAAGACCTCTGACAATGATAGGCAAAAGACACACTCCCCGTGTTTTAAAGCGATGGGACAGCATGCTTAGCGGGTTATTTTTTCTTTAAAAAATCTGTCCACGTGGGAATACACGTTAAAAGTGAGGACTATGGTATATCTCATACCTGTTACCCTTACACCCCCATCCTCATCCTCCTACCTCCTAAATTCCAACCTTATCCTACTTCACGAGCAGATATAGTGGAACTCAGAAACTGCTTTGCTGTGGAATCTTAATCAAAACTTTTGAGAGAGATCATCATTGGTTTCATGGGTGTTCCTTTCCTAGGGGGTACACCCAAATCACCTTGAACCTAGCCGAATGCAGTTAAGGCTAGGAGGTCTTTTAATTTCTTTCTAAATTACTGCAAGACACTGATACATGTAATGCAGCTGACAAAGGGAAGTTCTCGTTACAAATATAGAAACTCAAGAGCTGATATTGAAATACTACAAATTGCCTGATCAGCTCTCGAAACTGCATATTAACCCTCCTGGGGGGGCGGGGGTATGCAGCTAATTGAATGAGCAAAACAGGACAGCCAGGATCAAGAAGATTGGAAAAATGAGTGTCAGCATTCTGCATTAAATACATGTATCAATTAATTTGTTTCGTAAAAAAATTATAAATAAATAAACTGATAAAGTTAAAAACTGTAGTATTTACTAAATAGGGAAATGTATTGAAAAAATGCGCGAAAAATGAAAGGGTGCATTCCCGACCCTAAGTTAGTGACTTTAGACACTCCACATGAACCTAACACAAAGTTTTCGAAAAAATGTCCGAAAATGCGCGAACAATAATGGGGGAAATTTCCCCCTTTTTGGTTTCTTGTATGGAAATGTGGACATTCCCCTTTAATTTTATTAAGCAACCATACTCAGTTAGCAACACTTGAATTATACAGGATGCGATGCAATGTTTATATTACGCAATTGCGTATTTTCAACAGATGGCAGCAGGGGTAGAAAGGAAAATAGAAAGTAATCAATAAGCTATAGATGTCTCTTGTTTCAATTATTCGCAGATATTGAAGCATCCTTCCTTCCAAACCCCTTCAAAGTACTAGAAAAACGTCACATATCATATCTCATCGCCATCCACTTTTGGAAAGAGAAATCTGTATTGTTAAAAACATTTACCATGAAGAAAATCAGTGATTCCCCCACCCCCTTACAAGTCCCACCCTGTTGGATGTGGGTTGAGGGTGTACAACCCTGTTGGATGTGGATTGAGGGTGTACAACTTCTGAAAATAGTACCTTCATACAATGATTCGGCGAACTGTGTTGTTTTAAAATACCATTGCCGGAGTGGTTTTCTCTCAACCTTAAATTTAAAAAAAAACTTACAGCCAACAATAAAAAAACAATAAAAAACAACTATTATTATGAATATTTAACGTGATCAAAACTTTACTCTATGCCTGACGCATATAGGCTGTATGTCTAAAAGACTTAATCCTATGAATCTATGAAACTAGGTAAAAAAGCAGTTTTAAACTGAAGCTAGGATAGAAAAAAGCATAGTTTATATTTGAAACTAGGATATAATTAAGCACAGTTTTAAATTAACACTAGAAAAGAAAAAAAGTCAAAATTTTTAACTAAAACTAGGATAGAAATAAGCACAGTTTTAAACTGAAACTAGGATATAAATAAGCACAGTTTTAAACTGAAACTAGGATAGAAATAAGCAGTTTTAAACTTAAACTAGGATAGAAATAAGCACAGTTTAAATTTGAAACTAGGATAAACTTGAAACTAGGATAGAAACAAGCTTAGTTTTAAACTGAAACTAGGAAAAGAAAGCACAGTTTTAAACAGAAACTATTATGATAGATATAAGCACAGTTTTAAATTGAAAAAGATAGAAATAAGCATAGTTTTTTTTAATTATAACTATGATATAAATAAATAAGCACAGTTTACAACTGAAACTATGATAGAAATAAGCATAGTTTTAAACTGAAACTAGGATAAAAGAGCACGGTTTTAAAATGAAACTAAGAAAGAAGAGGGCACAGTTTAAAACTAAAGCTAGGAAAGAAATAAGTTTTAAACTAAAACTAGGATAAAAGAGTAAACGTTTAAAATGAAACTAGGATAGAAGAGGACACAGTTTAAAACTGAGCTAGAATATAAATAAGCACAATTTTAAACTGAAACTAGGATAGAAAAGAGTACAGTTTAAACTGAGCAAGGATAGAAAAAGCAGAATAAATATTAACCTTTGCCCCAGATCTCCAAGAACACCCGTTATCATCTACTTGTTCATCAGCTAAAAGCATAAACGTTATTGGTACTACTTCTCAAACTGCTTTCATGTTACTTTATTTTCTCACTATCACTTTATCTATTAAAACTTCAAAACACTTTAACGCTCTATTACTTTATCACTATCACTTTATCCCTCTATTACTCTATTATAACTTCAAAACACTTTAACGCTCTATTGCTTTATCACTATCCCGTTAACCTTTCATAACATCACTCCATCACTCTTTTCCTGTTTCGTTTATTCACTCTTTCACTCTGTATCTCTTCCATTTTTTTACTACTTCACTTCTATTGTTCTATTGTTCTATTGTTCTATTTTTCTATTTTTCTATTTTTCTATTTTTCTATTTTTCTATTTTTCTATTTTTCTATTTTTCTATTTTTCTATTTTTCTATTTTTCTATTTTTCTATTGTTCTATTGTTCTATTGTTCTATTGTTCTATTGTTCTATTGTTCTACTGTTCTACTGTTCTACTGTTCTACTGTTCTACTGTTCTACTGTTCTACTGTTCTACTGTTCTACTGTTCTACTGTATTACTGTTCTACTGTTCTGTTGTTCTGTTGTTCTGTTGTTCTGTTGTTCTGTTGTTCTGTTGTTCTGTTGTTCTGTTGTTCTGTTGTTCTGTTGTTCTGTTGTACTGTTCTACTGTTCTACTGTTCTACTGTTCTACTGTTCTACTGTATTATGTTCTGTTGTTCTGTTGTTCTGTTGTTCTGTTGTTCTGTTGTTCTGTTGTTCTGTTGTTCTGTTGTTCTGTTGTTCTGTTGTTCTGTTGCTCTATTGTTCTATTGTTCTGTTGTTCTATTGTTCTAATGTTCTGTTATTCTATTGTTATGTTGTTATGTTGTTCTGTTGTTCTGTTGTTCTGTTGTTCTGTTTTTCCTTTGTTCTTTTGTTCTATAGTCCTAAATCTACTCCAAACTAACCTAATACAGTATGATCGACGGGATCCCAGTTTACAATTGACTCCTTCTGATAAGCTAGACCAGATTGGAACAGTTTAATGAACAAAAACTGAGTCCATTTATAGTACGCAGGGTCACAAGTGGCTGAAACAAATTAATTTAAAGGGCGAGACCGTCTATGTAACATATTTTAGCTGAAAGTGAAGTATTGTAGAGAAATACTCTAGCATTCATTCAATACCAATGACACATTTTTACGGTGTACAATTTTTAAATAAGAGCGTGATCACTGTTACCTTTGTTGTGCCTTTGTTTCGCAGATTTATTCAAAATATCGTCTTCACAATCAAAACAAAAGAAACCTCCCAACAAGAGACCGTAGCTGAAAGAATTTGCATAAACATGCATTCATCCAATCAGTTTGTAGAATAGAATTTGTTACATGTTTTGTCCATATTTAAAAATTGTAAAAAAAATATAAAAAAAACAACTTTTTCTGCTCGTTGAAACAACTAGTAAAATATTACAAACGACTTTACGCTCTTATTTATGAATAGTACACCGTAAAAATGTCTCATTGGTAACAAATTAATCCTGATTTTTTTCTCAACAATACTGCATTCTCAGTTCAAATATGTTACATAACCGGTCTCTCCCTTTCAGGCTGACAATGTCATTGTAAAAATACAATAAAAAAAGTTTATTGCCAAATTACAAAAAACTTTTTGATGAGATTTATTAAGAGATTACAGATTTAAAATCCATTGATGATTGTTTCAAGAAGACCTATTGGAATATGCAAAAAACGTTCTTGAGGCATCCCGATCAATTTAAAAATCCTAAAAATGAAAACCAACATTTTGAAGAATTTCCTTTAAAGTTTAAATTATAATTTATTACCTATTTCCCTGTCCCAGTCAAAGGTACATCCAAGATCATTGAGTTGGGATTTCATTTTTAATATATTCTAAACAATTTTATAAGATAAATATATTTAAGATAATTTTTGGAAAAAGCTATGTTGGTCTTAATTCTTTATTGTGATAATAATAATTTATAAAAAAGCAGTATATCATATCTCTGTATTTATCAAGTTATCAAATATCTTATCTTTCAGGACTTTCATATTTTTTATATTTTACACTAATGCTATGTTTTTAGGACATTTAAATGAAAGTGGAAAACATGAAAAAGATATTTGAATAGTATTTCAAAATCCAAATGAGAATAGATGTAAGAAGAGTCGAGGGGGACACGAATTGTTGTATATTCTCTGAGGAATTTATAAAGGACAGAAACTAGTTTTAATGTAAACAAGGGTGGGAATTCAGTCTAAACTATCTCTTGAGTTGTCCTATTACGTCACAGTAGATATAAACAACCCCTGTTCTATTACGTCACAGTAAATGTAAACAACCCCTGTCCCATTACGTCACAGTAGATGTTAACAACCCCTGTCCTATTACGTCACAGTAGATGTTAACAACCCTTGTTCTATTACGTCACAGTAGATGTTAACAACCCCTGTTCTATTACGTCACAGTAAATGTAAACAACCCCTGTCCTATTTCTGTACTGTTCTATCCTCAGATACATCCAAATAGAATTTAAATAACAATAAACCTGTTCTGTCCAAAGTTTCGGATTGAGATTATTTTCAATTGCCGCATTTTCTGCTGGAAGTCCAAATGCGTCCCAACCCATTGGATGAATAACGTTATATCCTCGCATTCTAGAACAAACAACATATCATTTACTATCTAGTACCAGTTATATCCTCGCATTCTAGAACAAACAACATATCATTTACTATCTAGTACCAGTTATATCCTCGCATTCTAGAACAAAAAAAAATATCATTTACTATCAGTTTCGTCGTAGCAGTATTGTAATAAACATTTAAGTCGCGTTTTCAAGTCTTTATTTGCAATTTTCTTAAAATACAGGGTGTGTCCCACAAACAAGACAATTAAAAGACACCTTCACAAAATTCCCCTATCTGGCATTTACAAAATGGGTTCTGCCTCTTGATGTGCTTTATAATTACTTGAGATACAGGGTTTTCCACGAAAACGTAGGAATTGTTCTGAAAAGTAGAAAATGTCGGATGAACCAAATTTCTTTTATTTTCTGCTTAATTATTCACAGACACACTTTCGGATGCAGTAGCAATTATATTTGTTAACAATCTTTAGATAACATCTATAAGTGAAATTTCCAAAATAGACCTCCCTGACTGCACAATAATAATAAGTGTTAATTGTTAAATTATTGAGAATTATTGATTTCTGATAAAAATAACAATATTTTCAAATGTTAACTGTAAAGGCAACAGAAACAACCAAAAGAAATAGTTGTTTCCTCCACGTTACCCAAATATATAAAGAGTTTATTTTTAACTATTTTTCATAATCAATAAATACCTGTAATAATGAGCAAATGCATCCGATATTGAATAGACCCTGACATGACCCATGTGTAGTTTACCAGAAGGGTAGGGGAACATAGATAATACGTAGAACTTAGGTTTACTCACATCTTTCTAGAACAAAACATTTTCTGTTTAACAAATGAATTGAACACTGGTCTCAAACTCTAATTTTCATAGCCTTGTATCTTTACAACTCTGATCGAAACTTTTGTGCAGATATGGCTTTTTTTTGCCTGCTTGATCTCGATATCGAATGTGGGTTCTTTTTACGCTGATGATCAATAATTGATCAATAATTCAAGGTTTCCCTGCAGGGCATGACCATCACGGGATTTTGACTTCCTTGGTCTAGGAGTCAACATTTGAAATATTAAATATTTACACCAACAGGTTGCAAAGATAAAGGGAATGGCAAATTTGAGACTGAGGGAAGTGCTCAGTTCCTTTTATATAATGCAACTTTTTCAAAGTCACAGGTTCTAAACGTTAAAACCATTAGTTACTTTTTTAGAAAATTTAAAGGTTTACTGAAGGTTTACCAGTGTATTTTTCAAAAAATCAATCATCAACAAAGTGCCCCAGGATACATGACAGTAGCAAGACAACTTAAATGTCGTCTTTAATATTTAATGTAATTTACAGTTTTTAATGTGTGATTATTGTTCCAAGAATCATAAATGTATAAGTTGGTCGATGAAAGAATAATTTAAAAAATCAAAGACGCCCTTCAAGTCTTCCTCCTACTCTCCAGTTTCGTGGGACACCCTGTAGGTGGATGGCAAAAATTAACCTTTGCTATTGTTACAAACAAATTCTAAAATTCTGATCCATCTTAAATCCACGGCTCACCTTTGGTAATGAATCCTTTATTTTGTCCCTCCAATAAGCTTCAAGTTTAATCATTGTATCATTTTCAAGATATTTATCAAACACGCCATCTATACTATAAATACTCCGGACTGATTGTCGGATCCTAGTCGAGTTTAAAAACGTACATTTTGTCAGAATTAAACTTCGAACCAACATCTTATCTGAAAGAATATTTGTTTTTATTTTATCAAGCTCATTTACTGATTTTTTTTATCCACTGAATTGAAATAAATATTCTGCATGAATCACATTTATCTGTTATCTTGTACTATTATGGTATTACGAAGGAAGTTCTCTACGGTAACCAAGAGGAACCTGGTCTGCATTTTTCCAGAGGCATCCTCTCTAAAGTGAGAAAAAACGATTAATAAGTCTTTACGCCCAGGCACCCCATATTTACAATGTTGTTTAAAGTCTTCAAACAGAAATGATTTCATTAGATAACAATTTTTTTTGGCCTTTTAAACAATCATGCACGTTAATATTACACAAAAATTCATAACGTTTAACCGTTCACTCTTCTTAAACACAAAAAAATGTGTTATTATAAAATGTTTGCTTTGGCTTTTAATTACAAATTACAGAAACAAATCTCAAGAACTGAATACAGTCAACAAAGATCAAAATAAATTTTTGAAAATAAATGTTAATTAAACTAAATTAAAAAAAAGAAACTCCGACCTGGCATCTAGCTGTGCTATTCCTCGGTTTCTCCTCCCTTGCAAATAGAATTGAACTCTGACTCCCTTTCTTCCCTGCTCATCCTACACATTTTTATCACTAAAGATATAAGAGATGACCGACTGGCTGACTATATAACAAACAAGATGGCTGACTGTATTCCTCTAATACCTGATAAACAAGATGGCTGAATATATTTTCCAAATCTTTCTAAAAAAGATCGCTGACTATAATTCTCTAATACCTGATAAACAAGATGGCTGAGACTGTATTCCTCTAATACCTGACTATATTCTCCCAATACTTTCTATAGAAGATGGCTGACTGTACTTGTCTAATATCTGATAAACAAGATGGCTGACTAGATTGTCCTGATAATATCTAAAGAAGATTGGCTAACTAGATTGTCCTAATACTTTCTAAATAAGATGGCTGACTCTATTCCTCTAATACCTGATAAACAAGATGGCTGACTCTATTCCTCTAATACCTGATTAACAAGGTGGCTGATTGTATTCCTCGAATACCTGATAAACAAGATGAACAAGGCCCCAATGGGTGCTGAGCTCCCCCCTGGAAAGAAAAAATATTAAAGACACCCCCACCCCACCCCGTACAAATTCCTCGAATACCTGATTACAAAGATGGCTGACTCTATTCCTCGAATACCTGATAAACAAGATGGCTGACTATTCCTCTAATACCTGATAAACAATATGGCTGACTCTATTTCTCCTTCCTCTCCTACTCTCCTCTCCATATGCTTTAATTGGCTCTCCCAACATATCCTGGACCTAAAGAACACTTTTACTTTGTCAGCCAAATATGAGTGAAAATGTTCTATTTTTCTTTTAGTAATTTTATTTCGAAATAGAATACAGGCGAAGCATTACAAAATTTTAATTTAAAAATGAAAGAGCGTTGTTGCATTGGAGTAATTTAACAAACAAACTTCAATCAAAAAGTCGAGAGAAAAAATTACTTGACCTTTGGATGTTTCATGCATTGTGTGGAGGCCTTCTCATACAATGCATTAGGACTGTTAGAAGAGAACAGTTCCTAAATTCAAAACTTATTAATTCTGTGTTCTTAATCTAAACATGAACGATTTGGCTTGTCTGATGGTTTGTATGCAATACACGTCCAAACAGACGGCTGAGCCCATCAGGCCCTAATATTTTGTGATAACTCACATGCTTTCAGGGAAGTATTATGGTCAATCTTTATTTTGGAATGGAAAGTTAAAAACCGGAAAATATGCAATTTTAATAAAATTGACATTCCTTTAAAAAGAGTAAAAAATGTTAGAATGTAGATAGATCCGCAACAAAAGCTTAATGAAAGAGAAATGAAAGAGAAATAAAAAGACGCGAAGCGCCCTAAAATCCTATTTTGATAAAACTTCTGAATAAAAAAATCAATTATGTACTTACGTTCAGAACGGTGTATGCGATGACCCCTGTGACCCCGATCCCAACAACGATAACAGCTCCGTAGGAAGCTGTCTTGGCATTATCCTGCGAAAAGATAAATTTCACCAATATGGCCGGATAATGGCGTAACTAATTTCCCAACTATCAAATCAAATATAACTGCGAGTTTTGAATGTAATATGAGGAATAATCTTTCTGTTAAAAATGTTTTAAGAAATAAATTATCAACAAAAAAAATGTTAAAGGGAATTCATGAAATTATTAAGGAAAACAATGTTTACAGGCATTTGAATGTATAAATGAATTATAAAAATGTTCTAACGGATATTTAAAGGAATTAAACAAAAATCAGTGGGGTAGTCAGGAGGTGGGGGNGCTCACCTTAATATTATAGGGACTGCCCGGAAAGAAAAATATTAAGACCCCCCTGTACAAATTCCTGACTACGCCCCTTTTGTCATAAATGTTAAAAGAAATGATTGAATGACCATCACAGAAGTAAAGTATAATTTTCAGAAGGCATAACGACCCTCGGTTATTTGATTATAAGCACATTTGAGAAAATGATTACAAATAGACAGTCGATAAATAAAAGCGCAAAATATCCTGAATTCGCGGGAATAATAAGTTTTCCCGCAAAATGCGGATTTGCGCTAACCGATTTTTCCATTCCTCTTTAAGCCCTCCTATATGCAGAAGTAAAAACTCCAAACCTTAGCTTTTTCCTTGAATGAAGTCTGAACCTGTCCCCCAGATGGCGCTGCGGATTGAACAACAGTCTTCTCCTAAACATTTCATAGGGTGAACCCAGAGGCTAACCTCAGTAGAAAAAACAGCTTTTCTTTGCACGATTGTATTGTCTTGTAACAAGCATTAGCGTATCCACAGGGGGTATGGCTATGGTGGACCAGTCAACTCTATGGTTTTCAGGCCCTTAGAAAGAAAAACAAATTCAGCCCCTCCCTCGCACAAATAATCCTGAATACGCCCCTGGTCACAATTAAGTGATCCCATGAACTTCTGTTTCAAAGGCAGAATGAGCAAAGCATACTTAAAAAAAAAAGAAGGGGGAGTGTAAATTAAATAAATATCTAACCATTCCTAATCTAAAATTCATTTTTAAAAAGACCTTAGTCCGAATTTAATGAATTTGAGCCGCGTCTCAAATCCGCCAAAAACCGATTTCAATTGAACGCCGGCTTAAATCTTGGAACATTGAATACAATTTTTAGTGGAACCAACCATTTGAGCCGAGTCTTAAATTGCCGCGGCTCAAATTCTTTAAATTCGGCCTCAGATCTTAGTAAAATTTCAAATGAAAACCCTCAAATTCGCTCTTATTAATTTCTAGAAATGTCAAATTACTTAATAGGTTTTAAATAATTCATGGGTAGATGCAAGTACACAACGATTGTTTCGATTGATTGATTGATTAACGTTTATTTATAAGTGCATCCAAAGGCGAGCACCTTAAATGTTCGATTGTTTCTTTTTGAAGAATTTGGTATATTTGCAATCAAATCAAATAAGATCATACCAAACCAAACCGTTACGAATTGCCGAAAACCTTCTTAACATGAAGGAGATGGAACCTGTTTAGTCTGCTGAGTATGCTGTGTTGAGGTGGAGAGAGTTCTGCTGGAGCACGTACCGCAGATCACTTTGCTCTGTAGACGCGGCATGTGCGCCAGGCGCAGTATTATTCTTGGCGCAGCCGCCATTTTTTCTTAAAGATTCGAAATACAAACTTAACATAATCTCTCAGATTTTTAAATTTGAAATGAAGGAGCACTTAATTTATTTAATTATCACAAATAAAACTTGGTATTAACTGAAAAATTGCGGTTAAATAAACACACTGTAAATTGTTAAATACAAACATCTCGCGTTAAATTTCAGAACTACTATAGTTTGTACAAGGTCGGGTTATAAGGAAAATACTAAAAACATAGATTAAATAATAATTAAAAATAATTTTATTAAACATCATTTTGTGCGTGTTGTACGAAAAAAATGCATTAATTAAAAAACATTAAAATGTTAAACATGAAGGATATTCAGCGGATCATTCAAAATAATTTGATATTTTAAATTTTTATAATCGCAGAAAGTTTGAATTATTTATTTAAAAATCAGGGATTAAAAGAAAAACTAGTCATTAAATATCGAAAATGGTAACCACTCTATCTGCTGGCCGAAATCAAATTTTACATATTGTTGTATTTTAGAACTAAACATTTCATGTAGAGGAAGACAAACTAAAAAAATCACATATGATTAAAAAAACTAAGAAATAATTCACAAGGTTTTGTTTTTTCTTTGCTTAATGGTTGACAACACTTAGTTGTTCCCCCCCGGCCCACTCAAGGACTTCTCCATAAACCTCTTCTTGGCAAAGCAAGTCCACCATTTACTTGGTTTCCCGTCTGTATTCTCGAATACCTTCTCAACCAACCGCAGTCCTAGAAAAAAGGAAAAATTTATGTGATTGATTGATTAAAAGTCTGCTTGATTAATTAATAGTCTAATTAATTGATTATTAATCTGTTATAAATCGTTAGCCTGTTTAATTGATAAATACCCTGTTTGATTGATACATAAACTGTTCAATTGGTTAATAATCTATTTGATTGATTGATGCTCTCTTTGATGGATTACTTTTCAATTTGATTGATTATATATCAATTTGATTGATAATATATCAATTTGATTGATTATATATCAATTTGATTGATTATATATCAATTTGATTGATTATATATCAATTTGATTGATTTTATATCAATTTGATTGATACTATATCAATTTGATTGATTATATATCAATTTGATTGATTATATATCAATTTGAATAATTATTTGTCCAAATAATTTATCAAGAATTGAGTGATTAGTTGATTGACCAAATATTTGTGCATTTGTTCAATTGGTCCATTGTATGTTTGAATTATTTTATGTTTGTTAAGAATGTGAAGGCACTAGATTGATTGATTAAGTATCTCAAAGCAAATTGAAAAAAAAAATGAATTATGTAAATGTTTTATTGTTTAATCATTTATTGAAGACTTTAAATCCGTTCGTTTGTTTTACAGAAAGATATTATTTAGGGATAAAATTTAAATGTCTGGTTTGATTGATTAATTGGTCGATTTTCTTTTTTACCTATTTCGTGTCTAAGCTGGAGGAAGTATTGTCGCATTATGTCGGCTTCCTCTCCTGTCGCTGGTTTCATGTAAACACCGTTCAGGGGGAACCCAGGCTCACCTTAATATTATAGGGACTGCCAAAGAAATTTCTGAAGTGAAACTCAATTTTCAAAATGTCATCAACAATCAACATTCAACAAATCAAAATGGTTCCCTTTAAAGATGTTTTAAGATCAATGGTAGAAATATCTTTAAAAAATTATATCCAACGTAAATGTCTAACCCACCGAAAAAAAATATTATTTGTTTCATCTGCCATCATACCACACTTGGGAATATAATTTTATTTGATTATATGATTGAAATTCATGAAAATAACTGACTTTAGACATCACTATCAATGTGTGTAAATTGTTTATCATTTGAAAACCCCAAATTCTTTACCCGGTATGTCAAACTTGGCGATAGCAAGGGAGTACATCTCGTTCTGCGCCTGCGCTTTGTTCGCGCATTTCTGCAGCTTTTTCAGGCACTCAGTGATGTAGAGAGTTAGATAAATCAGAACTCTGTCTCCTTCGTTCTTTATCTCATACGTCCGGAAGAAAACGTTTGCCTGAAAAAAAGATAAATCAAAATTTATAATTTATATAAATTTTTCATTGATTTTCCGGGAAAGTGAAAAAGGTTGCTATACACGGGTTGCCAATAATTAACTTCCTAACATTTTAAAGTTTTATGAAAAAAATCAAAAATTGAGAGGAAAAAGGAAAAATACTGTTAAATAAAGATTGGAGGGTATTAATTTTAGATAAATCAGATTATATCAGAAATGTGGGGATTTGCTACCAGCTTTCCATTCGGAGTTTCAAGTCCTCACAAAGTAAATAAATAATTATAAAACCAATGACCTTAAAGTAGTAAAGAGCCTCGTCAATGATATCTTGTTGATCTGAGGGTGGAAGGCAGGGGGCAGGTCCTCGACCCTTAAATAATATTTTTAAAAGAATTTGGTAAAATTGAAAAATAAGAAGACCTAAAAATTGTATAAACATTTTACTTTATCAATTTTTAAATCTATCTTTTGAAAAACAAGAACTCAATTACTGTAAAAAATGTAAGCTTTTGATTAAAGCTCAAATTAAGCTGGTTGTTTAAGCTGTTTTGAAGTCACCATGACCCGCTGAAGTAGAATACACAGGATTTCTTCAAAGCCCTGAATATCTTGCTTAAGTTAAAGTGTTTATATGATAAATAAAAGAAGAAAAAATTCGGAATCCTAATTAATCAAATATTGGCGCCATAATGAATTTTCAAAGAAGTTCAAGATATTATGGCTTCTTCCGAAAAGACATTTTTCTTAATCATACCAAAATTTAAAATATATTTCACTTAATACTTTAATTTACCTGTGATTTGATGGGAAGAATTGCCATATTCCCGACACTCTGCGGCCCAGACGTAAAGCTAGAATGATAGGCTGGCATATTGTCTGTAAATATAATCTTTTAAGTTCTAGATTTTTCTTATTTCGATGCAGGTTTAACACAAGAAAAATATTTTAAAAAATAGGATAATAAGATCTAGAAGAATCCTCTGATCTTGTCCTAGATCTGACAGAATCCTCTGATCTTGTCCTAGATCTAGTAGAATCCTCTGATCTTGTCCTAGATCTAGTAGAATCCTCTGATCTTGTCCTAGATCTAGTAGAATTCTCTGATTTTTTCATAGATCTAGTAGAATCCTTTGATCTTGCCATAGATCTAATAGAATCCACTGATTTTGTCCTAGAGAAAGTAGAATCATCTGAACTTGTCCTAGATCTAGAAGAATCCTCTGATCTTGTCCTGGATCTAGTAGAATCCCCTGATCTTGTCCTGGATCTAGTAGAATCCTCTGATCTTGTCCTGGATCCAGTAGAATCCCCTGATCTTGTACTAAATCTAGTAGAATCCTCTGATCTTGTCCTAGATCTAGTAGAATCCTCTGATTTTGTGATAGTAAAGAGAAAGCGGTAGAAAAGAGTTTCTCTGATTGAGTTTTGAGTCAAATACGTTACAGTCACATTTACTAAAACATTGATAATTTCAATAAGTTCCTCAATAATGAATTTTTAATCTATAAAATCTATCTATCTGTTATGACTCCTGCTCCCACGAATCTACTCCTACAACCAACCCATAATACTCCTTAAAATGTTAAGATTGATTAGTTCGCCTGAACGTGCAAGGAGTTCCTTAGTAAAGTTTACAAGCAGTAAAATTATAACAATTTGAGATCGTCATTATGTCTCATATTTTGTAGGTAACCCTGCATTCATGTCTGAAATTTTATGAAAATTAGCTTTGTTCCTAAGTTTATGAAGATATGCATCGGCTGCAACTGCGGGAAGTAGAATACGTTTATTTTCTCTATTAATCATCCGAGATCTATACCTGAACAATAAACATATAAATTAAGTTTTGGATGATAATGAGAGGAGAAACAAGTAAATTAGGATGATAATAAGAGGAGAAACAAGTAAATTAGGATGAGAATGAGAGGAGAAACAAGTAAATTAGGATGAGAATGAGAGGAGAAAAAAGTAAATTGGGATGAGAATGAGAGGAGAAACAAGTAAATTAGGATGAGAATGAGAGAAGAAACAAGTAAATTAGGATGAGAATGAGAATAGAAACAAGTAAATTAGGATGAGAATGAGAATAGAAACAAGTAAATTAGGATGAGAATGAGAAAAGAAACAGGTAAATTAGGATTACTTTGAGAGGAGAAACAAGTAAATTAGGATGAAAATGAGAGGAGAAACAAGTAAATTAGGATGAGAATAAGAGCATAAACAAGTAAATTAGGATGAGGAGAAACAAGTAAATTAGGATGAGAATGAGAGGAGAAACAAGTAAATTAGGATGAGAATGAGAGGAGAAACAAGTTAATTTGGATGATAATGAGAGGAAAACAGGATAAATACACATTTAAAATTTAAAAATCTATGATTATGCCATTTAATCTTCACTTCACTACATTGTTTAAGCTTTTTTAAAAAAAAATTTAGCATTAATAAATATCCTCGTAAAATTATGAATGAATTTTGATTATCAATTGAAACCACAATCAACCTAATATTATTTAGAATGCAGAAAATAAGTTAAACTAACTTCATTTTGACGAGATACTTTTTGAAAATTTTCATGCGAAATTTGCTTTAAAAAGACATAGAAAAATGTAGTATCATATATAGGACAAAGACTAATCCTGAATCACTGATTCAAAAACGTGGTTGAACTGTCTCTAAACCTGGCTAAAATTCATTAAATCCGGTCCTAGCTGTATTGAAATAGTGACTAGTGTGTACAGGCAACTGTCAAGATGATCCTGGGCCCAGCTGTATTAATATAGTGTTTACCTGCAACTATTAAGATGTTCCTGGGCCCATCTATATTAATAAAGTGTTTACCTTCAACTATTAAGATGTATTAATATAGTGTTTACCTGCAACTGTTAAGATGTTCCTGAGCCCTACTGGCAATGATTTCAACAACTTCTCTTAAAGGTTCATTCTCAACAGGACTTCTAATTATCTAATTAAATAACAAAATAATCAAATAACAACAAAAAATAATCATATCAGTCCAAACCTTTAAAAAAAATTTCAATACACTAAAAACTTATAAACACCGATCTCACACAGTTATCGAAGTTTGCAGCAATTTAGTTTAGACTTTAAAAACAAAACCCAACATAGAAAAATTAAGAAATGTCATTTACTTAGATTACATTTTAACTTTTTGGAAAGTAAATTGCTTTCCAGGTATTAAATGAATTCTGGTAACAGAGAAATAAACTTGTATATCAAAGTCAAGTTTGGGACCGTGATGGAGGTCCAAAAACACCATTTGAATTATGCACCAACCTCTTCTGCTGATAAATCTCTTTCCATAAGAAGATCTGTTGGAAGATAAACTCTTCTTTTGCTCACATTATACGGAACTGCTCGGAGTAGGGTTAATAATCCTTCTACACGTCCTACAACAAAATAAAAGTAAAATTCACATTTTGACAATCTCTTGATAATTAGAGAGATACGCAACCAAATTAAGTGTTATATTGAAAAAATGTCCGATTGTTTTAAAAATATGTTTTCCCGTTTTACTTTGAAATTGTGTAATTGATTTTGGTTTAATAAAACTAGTTACCTAGTGCGGTGGCGGCATGCTTTAAATGTCCGTCTGAATTATTAATAATCTCTAGAAAAAGAAGATAGACGGAACCAAAGGCCTTGTCCGCATACTTCTCCACCTCCTCTAAGGACTCGAACGGACGATCGGAAATAAACTGCTCCCTTCACACAAAGACGTAGATAAAAAACGTCACGTGAGTTAGCGTAAATTCTATTTTGAAAGTTTATTTGAAAGTTTGAACGGAGCTAGAAATTATTTTACTTTCTAAGAGTTTTAATTTCCTATTCGTTTAAAAACTAAATTCTTTTATGGCAAGATAAATGACTTAATAGGCAAAAGTATTAAAAAGAGGTAAAAAAAATCTTGCAACGTGAAGACCATTTTTATATTATTATAATGATTTATAAAAACACAAAGATATAAATGCATATATAAATGGTGTAGTTTAATTTTTTTAAGATATTTCGAATATAAAGTTTAGAAAAAGAAAAAAAATATGCAAAAATGCGACATTGAGCATTGCTTTTTGCATAACATATTTATCATTTTAGTTATTACATAATCATCAAATCATTCAAGACATAAGCCATAAAATAAAAATCTTCTTTTAAATTATCGTAATAAAATCGTAGATTTTAAACAAGATCAAAAATTATTTATTTGATCTTTAAGGCGAGCCTCTGCAGTGCAAAGGATAAGTCAACCTTATTCTCAAGACTTAAAATCAACGCCATTGTGCAGATGAAAATAATCAATGCTGAAATAACTAAATTGATTAAAATGTATTGTCTTAATTATTTCTAATATATCTATCTATCTATCTATCTATCTATCTATCTATCTATCTACCTATCTATCTATGTCTATCCCTGGAGTCTACGAGACGCAATAGAAGAGATTTACTGAGAGAATGTTCTAGAACTGCTCTGTGTAGTTGTCCTGCTACAGGGTGCTGAGGAGGATTGTTTTCATATATTCTGAGATCAGAAGGAAATAAGATTAAAGATAAAAAATATTAAATGATAACTTAAGACAAAAAAAGAAGAGGTTGGTCGGAGATTTTGGGTAATAAATAAACTTCAGGGGAAAAGGCATTAAGAACACAGAAACTCGTCCAGGGGGGGGGGGGTTAGTATGTTTTCTTCCCAGAGGGAGGGCCCTGCACTTAAAAACCCCTCATAGACTGCATTAATTTTACTGATCCTCCCCCCCTGAATAAGCCTCTAATAAAGAAGAAGAAAAAAAGCTTGAAAATCCCCCTAAACCTTGGAAATTCAAAAAACCTAAAAAAAAGTTTGATAATAAAAAAATAAAAAGCACATTAATATCCAATTTATCTCCTAATTTCCTTTCCTATCAATAGTGTCCCGCCAGAATTGTAGGCGCATGAGTCCAATCTGCTTTTCACTAACACTATCCCTTACACCAGAAACTTCACAGTTAAATGCTCTACAACAGCGTTGAGGTCACCATTTTACTTTCATCTTATTGTTAAAAGGGACTGAAAGCGCAACTTCAACTGACCCTCCATTTAAAGAAACCACAAATGAAAATGAACAGTTTTCAAAAACAAAAACGTGGATATCTTATTCATACGTGATCAGACAAAATTTTAAAGGCCTAGTACAGTTGTAAATCGGGCATTGCCATCTTTGCATAGAGTGTCATTTAAAAACTACGCTTTCAGTTACTTTAATTTATTTAATGATTAAACAAATATGTTTGCCTTTATTTTTAGACAAATCTAACTCTTGTGGCAACAATCTTTAAATTTTTTAAGAACAAGACTTTTTATTCAAAATAATCCACTCATAGCTAAGTTAGTTTCTTTACAAAAAAAGTAAAAACGAAAATGAAATGACATAATGATTCACTTGACAATGACATTACTTTGACAAACTCTTGGAATTATATTTCATTAGATCATCTAAAATCTGTAAAAAAAATGAACCAGGACCACGCGCTCCCTGATTGCAAAAGCGTGTGTGCGAAGTTGTGTTGGAAGCATTAAATTTGTTAGATAATGTTCATGATCAGATTTTCGAACAGATTCTACACAGTATTCAGCTCCAGTCTTGCAAGATAATTAGTTCAAAATAATATACTAAAATTTATCATTTTGAAGTATAAAAATCTACCAACCTCTATCATGTTCATTGTTATACACCCCCTCCCCCCTCCTTGCGTCACCATTTTGTTGGAAAATGTTATTCTAAGAACAAATACAGCGGATAAAAGTTCACGGACGACCCCGAAGTCTTGAAATATAGCACTCGACTTAATTCGTGGGGGGGGGGGGGGCACGCCCCCCCCCCTTCTTTAATATGAAAAAGGTGAAATAATTGATGAGTGAACACTTTAGTATAGTTACACGACCAACTAAAACTAGGAATGCACGAAAAAAAAATCGGACAGTTCTTTAGAGATATAGTTTTTTTATTTGACTAAATAATCGTCCCTGTTTTGGTATCGTATGCTTTTGTCGTATCTGGCAAAAGGAACAGTGAAGTAATCGCATTCTTTTAAAAAACATCTGAAAAAAATGACAGCGAACTATAACATGACACAAAAAATAAACAAACCGGTCTTTAAATCACATTAAAGAAAATCTGAGAAAAAGTGTGGGCTGCGATCTCTAAAATAGTGTGGAATCCTTTAACGATTTTATATCTCTTTTGTTAAAGGTCTAATCATTTTAAATCATCCTCCTATTCAACATTATTTTAGCAACCACTGTAGAAAATCACAGAAATTATATCGATTATCGGTACCCTCCTATCCAATCTGGAGGAAACAAACCCGAGACGTTTAAGATCTAATTGTTTTAGATTAAAAATTGGCTGGCCGAGGTTAAAACAGAAAGTTGGAGTTATGATAATTAAAAGCCATAAAGTCTCACACTATACAGCAAGTAAAAACTTAAGGATATTTTTTTTTAAACCAATCTATTATTAGTTCGGATAAGGTCGTCTTTCCTTAGGTCATTTTCTATAGCAGAGGAAGCAGAGTAAGGGTTTATATTTTGAAGAATTATGCGTGTTGTTAATCGTTTTGGTTCAAATTTGGTTCGTTTATTTTGTACGTTTTCTCTTCGGGTCAAAATTTGGCATAGTATAAGACAGTAGACAAACAAATGGTTTCAAAATAAATTTGTCGAAACATTTTCTTTTCTTACACTAAGCGAAATTTTGACCCTCAGAAAACGTAAACAAAAAAAAGAATGGCCCTAAGAAAACGTATGGAAAAAAACGAACAAAACTCCGAATAAGTTAAACCGATCGTTTTCCCTTTATTTAAGGATCAAATGTGACTAAGTTTGATAAAAGCAAACTTTAACAGAATACAGTTTTTAAATATTAGAAGTTTATTAAAAAAGAAACAAAATGATTAACTTCTAGGGAAAAAATTATTTTCAAGAAGGGGGGGGGGGGGAGGCCGGAGGGTGCCTGATATATATATATATATTTATACCCCTGATATCACCACATAAACCGTTGCATCTCTCCAGGGTTATTCTCCCAAGTGAAGGGTTTGTACAGGAACAGGTAGAAGACGGCAGAGTTGATGAGAACCAGTGCGAGGAACTCCAGGGTCAACTTTATCACAGAGCTTGGTTTAACCTGGAGTCTGGTGATGAGGAAGGGAACTATGAAGTATCGGAACTCTAGAAGTTGTTGAGGAACTAGGCAAGCAAACACACACACAGGAAACACTATCTAGAGAACACATTCAAAAAGTTAAAAAATGACTTTTTAAAGAGACAATAGACTTAATTTTTAAGTCACTCATATTTTATAGAGTGGCTTGTCCTATTACAAATGTCCTTAATATTTGTATGATCAAGAATGAGTGTTTTAACAATGTTTTCTCTATAAAAATTACTTACGGATTTCTTGCTACAGAAACAATGGAGGAAATTGGGGAAAATCAACACTTTTTAGGCTAGAAAAAAGACACAAGTTTAAATAGGCACTGCTGTGAATCGATCACTAAATATGGAAGGTAACTCGATATTATATTGACAGTTCTTTTGGGATTTAAAGTTTGAGACATATTTAGCATTTTCAGGACTCAAAACAACTCATATCATCGATTAGGATACAATCAGAAAACTTCTATTGAATTTTAAACAAACCTTTAGCATAAGATCTGACTTAGCCAGACACCTAGCCACACTCCAGAGAGAGAAGATGTAGAGAGGAATACAGAGGTACTTGATCAACCAATGCTTCATAAATACTCGTCTCCAAAGATAGAAGGTTAAGTGCCTAAAATACCATCTCAAAATTCACTAACAATATCACAATTTATATATATATAGAATAGATGGCATAGTTTTCAGAATAATTTTTTAAAAAGTTATTAACAATAATAAAACAACGATTTATTAAGGATGCACGCGCTACAAAGTACAAGGTGAGGCCAATAAAATTAGAGTTTTAAAAAACTGTATCAAACTAATTCCCCTTTTGTGTAGTTTTCTAGGAAAAACTTGGCTCAGTACAGTTAGATTCTTATTTGAATAAGATCAGTTTTGAATTTTGATCAAAATACGCCATTTTAATACTGGAAAACAAATAAAACCAGGTCAACAGCCAATATTAAGATGTTGTTACCTATTGTCTGCAAGTAAGTAAGGATGAGCCATAGTGGTGAACCTTATCACAACAGCAAGCAAGATTCCGAGAAGGAGAACATTCTTCTTATTCCTCTTCACGAAGACCATGAAGTCTCCAAGGTGGGGGACGGTGAAGGCAAAGCTAAGGCCTGTGAAGAAGGTTGCAAAATATAGAACTTGAGGAACATGGAGAACAGCCGTGTGAGCAGACCTAGATATATTTATTCAGGGGTGTATATTTTCTTGAAAAATCATCCCCCACCTATTTTGAAAATCATGTTTTACCCCCCAGAGCAAATATTTTTCTTAAGCATTTTACTTTTATTAACTGAATTTGGGGGGGGGGGGGACTTCCCATTTGAAATTTTACTTATTCCCCGAGATCTTCAAAAATACCCCCCCCCCCTTATGCACCCCAGATCTTTATGATTTTGAAACCTGATGTCGTCGACCTATAATCTGAATTCTGCTAGATCAGATGACCAAAACATTAAATATCAAAGGTTTACAACATCAATTTGCACAGATTTAGGCCATAGGGCTTAGAGGCGAGTAATTATTTTCTTTATACAATTTAAGTAAAAATCTCAGAACTTACAAAAAAGTAAATAGACTTCAGATTTAATAAAAATCTCTTAGGATTAAAACAAACATGAAAAATATCAATAAAAGCGAGAAAAATAACTTTTAATTTGAATATAAAATATAAATTAAAGTCTACCTGTCTCCAACTACAATTCCTTCATTAAGTTTTACAAAGATTAAAAATCCTATTCCAACCAGTATATAACCGATACAGTCAACAATAAGCAAACCTACAAAAAAAAAATGAATGATATATACTTTGGAGAAAAAAACTCAGCGGGAGCGGTTGAACCAGCGGTTGAGATCTAGC